TAAATTGGTATCTCTGCCAAACATGCAACATAAACCAAAGCATGTGTTTAACCTAAAGAACATTTTCCATGCTTTCCCCAAGTATGTGATTTGATATAACAAAAGATACTATCTCTTCCTGAAATCTTGCCTTGATAAGTTACCTGTAACAGAATACAGTGGGTAAGATAATAGCAATGGTTCACTGTAAATGCCACACTGCTTTTTCCTTGTAGAACTTGCCCAAGAGACAGCTTAACACTCACCACAGTTATTTACTGTTAACTGAATATAAACAGCAGTGATTCAGAAATAAGTTTGTTTGTAAAGAAAATTAAAAAACCTGACCTGTGTGCACATTATATGGATCACTTAAGTGTATTGTGATTCATGGATGCATCATTCTTGCCCCAGTAAAGAAAACTGCTCATCTTACTCATGCAAGACTAGTCTGTCAGTGAGAGAGATGCTATACACATCATTCAGAGAACTATATATTATATATCAAGAATTGCACAAAAAGTCATTCTTGCCAGTTCACTTCTAGTACTACTGCACTTAGTAAGGTAAAACTGTGCATTGCACACCCTTGGGAGTGAACAACTTATCCAAATTATTTTCTTCTTTTTTATTTGGATATAAATTCTTGCTGAGAAAATAAATATACACATATATAAAACCATATTTCACAATTCTTACGAAATAAGATAAATTCTTTTAAGAACTACAAAAAAAAAAAAATCTACCCTTGTGCCAAGGTGCTCTGGCCAGATGAAATTACATCTCACTGTATTACAGTAATAATTTAACTGACAAAAGCTACAGAAGGGCTTGTGATTACACAGAAAAGTGCTGATCAACTTACTAATGTAAGACGTATATTCTATACTGACTTCAAACACAAGTAACATTTAAAAACAAGGCTCCATGCCATGCTAAGACCTTTAAAGAAAAAACTAAAATAACAATTTCCGAAAGTATCACTGGCCACTGATGCACTGATCTCATTTGCCTACTGAGTGAAATCTCATGCTGAGTGCAAGTATGCTAATAAAGTATCTGTCAGTAAACAGTATGACTGACAGAACAGATATAAACAGAAGAGATCAAACTTGCACTGTTTATTCAATGTTAATAAGAGCCAAAGATTTGTTTCACAAAAGGCTATTTTTCAATTCTCTCCTATGAGAAAATGTTAAAGCTAAGCAAACAAGGGCTATTATTTACACAGCTGCTTTTCACATGATACTATACTATTTCCTTACTCCACTACAACAAAACAAAACAAAAAAAATCATCAAAAGGTCAAATGTTTAAAATTGTTTAAAAAAGCCACCTACACAACTTGAATGATACATGCCATAATTTGTTCTTTTCCTGTAATTGCTGGCTCAAAAAAAATTCTCAATAAAGCTTAAAGCCATTTGAGCACTTAGAAATTAAATTGAGATTAAAGTTAAGAATCTTGATGGTAGTTTGAGTAAAAAATAATCCATAGCATCCTTCTGAAAGCCTCAGGATGCAACTGGCCAAAGAATTACTTGTTCAACAACAAAGAACAGAAGGCATGAAAATTCATTAAGTGAAACTTTCCAGAATGGTGAAAGCTTGGCTTAATATCCAAAATTATCTTTTGCATATATTTTAAATGTTTGAAACAATTCAACTTCTCAGAAGAGCTGCATAATTTGGCAAGAATTTAAAAACCATTAAACTTAACCTTTTTGACAGATGTCAGATTTCATGAATATCTAATATTCAGAAATAAACTACTAACTCTAATCTACTGACTGTACTTATTTGAACAAAGTGATTCACATCTTGAGTTCACACGATCAGCATATGCACCTTCCATGTCAGAAAAACAGTTTCCCAGCCTCACATACCAAAAGCTCAGAGATCAATTTGTCAGGCATAAAAATACAACAGTACACCTACCACATAAAAAGTTAAGTCTATGAGCGTGAGGAAAAGGTACAAGAGTATTTTCAAATTCATTAAAAGGCAAACTGCAGGTTTCTGTGGAACTTCACTTTAAAAACTGAGTAATTCCTAGTTAATTTATGTAGAAAAATTCTGACTCCTACAAGTTTCCTGTACAGGCTTCTACAAGAAAAGCCTTAGAGAGTTGGAAAGGACTTTTTCTTTTTGACTGTTTGGTCTGTCTCCAAAATTCCTGTAAGAATGAGTGTTTCTAGAGAACAATAAGAGATTAATAAGCTTGAGTACCTCAAAAGCCAGTGATTCCAGCAGAGGAGCTAGTCTCCTCATTTCCTAGTCTGACAGAAATAGTCTATTCCAGGAAACTGAAAATTTAATGTCATTTGAGTCTTTAACAGAGCTTTCTCATAATACAATTTAGTATACCATAAGCATAACCTACAATTTAATTTTGATTAAATGCAGGTGAAAGTTCACCACTAAAATTACTCTTAAATAAAGTACAAAATTATCAAAGGCTGAAATGACAAAGAAAGTTGAAGTCACATTCTCTCTAATTAGGTATGTTTACTAGTTCATTACTGGTCTACAGCAACAAAAAGAAAGAACAGACCGATTGGAAACAATGTCTTACAGATAACAATCTGGCCACAGATCTTTTAAAGATGTAAACCACCCCAATTGTTTTAGCTTTTTTATTTGTTTTGCTTCATTTTAAATCTTTAGCAGTATCAGGTCTGACATGTCAGGAAGTCTTTAGTAATTGCTTATTGTGACCTTAGTTGCAATACAAACTATGAAGAGTTTGTCTATCCCTCAGTGTGTAACAGGAAAACTTCCAGTGATGTTACTCTGACAAACCTTACAGATGCAGGACAAAGCAAAAGAAACGTATTTTTATCTTATGTACAGCAAATTATGCTAACAATGCATAGCTATGGCCTAAATAATATCTTACGATTATTTTAAACACCTTTTATTATTCATGGCTTGAGAGCTGTATGAATTGACCTACTTTCTCTTCTAGAACAAAATAGCATTCTGGTCGCAAAGCATATGACATTGGAAAACATAGGGGTATTGCCAGAGGTATCCAAAGACCTATCAATATCCCAATAAGCTTCAAATTGGGGGTTTAGAATAAATTGTGGTAACTAGATAGATGTTTCATTAATATTTCTAAGGAAATACACCATTAAAGAAATTATGCAGAATTTTTACAAAAATTTCCCTAACATTGTTTTAAATATAATATTCAGTAAAAAGTTTCTTTGAGTTTCTTTACTGCATCAGACTTTTTATTTGCAACTTCTGTTTATCCACTTGGTTAAATCAATCAATTTACAGATCGTAACTAAAGAACTTTGATAAATACAAACATTTTTACAAATAAGGTAAGAAAGTGAAAATTTCTTAAATATATTATTATGAACAAAATAATTTCCAATGATAAAACAGGAAAAAAAAATCTCTAATTACTCAGCCAAACCATTCTCTGTGTGGAGACTTCAATACTTCAATATCTTGATTAGCTACCAAGAAATTCAAGGGAATTGTTGTCTTCAGTTGAAATAGACTACTACACACAAGATAACAGTTACTAAAACTGCTTAAGTCTGAACATTTTTCAGACCCAGCTCTAGCTGAATGGAACTGCCAGAACAGCATTTCAAGAGTGGTTTCTATCCTAGTCCTGCATGGAACACAACACAGGCTAACCTTTGAAAATGAGACTTCACATCTTTCATTTGTGGAGAGAAAAAACGAGTAATGACTTCTGGTAAATACATTTGGCTTGTTACAGGGGTTACATCCTATTTTGAGTGCGGGAAGACATTGTTACAGACTAGTAAGTGAGACTCGGGTGCAGACTTCCTCTTCTGGATGTGATTTGCCACAAGGTTTTCCAGTGGTTACATCTACTGTTGTGTCACCAGTGCCACTGCTAAAACTGTCTTCCACAAACACAGAAGTGTTAGCAACAAACTCCTGAACATGCAGAACAAAGTTAGAAGAACTAAGAAGGATGCTTTTAAAGCTGAAAGAGATTTTACCTGTGTTCTTAACTAAGGTATTCTTTTGAAAGGTACAGAACAGAGCAAGGAAGTCAGAAGAACCCAACCAAAGGTATGTATTAGGGAGAGAATTAGTTTCACATGGTCCTATGAGAAAAGGATAACCAAGTGTCAATGTTCTAGAACTGTATTAACCTCTTTGATGCATGACCTGCATTTTTAGTCATCTTCATGTTAGTCAGTTAATACGAGTATCCAAATTCAGAGTATTTTGGGCAAGAGGAAGACATAGAGAATTGTTTTACTTTTTATAAAAATGTTCATTTAATATTTAATAGGAGATATGGGTATTAGATATTAAATTTCATTAGTTCTGTCTGGAAAATCGTTTGTATTTAAATTTAGGATGAAACCCTAATCTTTTTTTCTTTAATTAATTTTACATTAGTCTTAGTAGTGAATCTTGCATGAAGAACTTTTTCTAACATGGTCATATCAACAGAACTAGTAGCTTCCATCATCCATTTCCATACTGCAGTATTCAATAAACTATATGGTAAGGCAATACAAAAGTGAAACACAGTTTGGCAATCAGAAAACAGTATTAAAGCCCAGAAGTAGCCACAGATTTCATTATGTCCTCATTTTAAAGCTCAACTAACAAAACAGGAATGCCCGTGACTATGTACTGTAACTTATACAATACCTGAAACATGTTGTCTGTGATGCTTTCAACTTTACCACCGTAAGTTATAACCTTAAGGAACTTGTTTATTTATTAAAACCTTCATTTTAATAACAAAGTATAAATCTGTACCCTTGTTATCAAAAGTATTTTTAATTATCAGAATTGCTTTAAATGTGTTTTGAAGTTAAATTAACAAATTTGTATTTCAACCACAGAAGCCCAAATCTTTTTTTTTTTTTTTTTTTTTTAAAGCAAAAATCAGACTTTTCTTTTACACTAACAGGGAAAAAGCGACAACTAAGCAAAGAAACTATTTACCACTTCCAATGTTATGCTACAATTATGATTCCATAAAGTTTGTGCAGTACATACTTTACCTCAATCAATTTTCTTTCATAAGAGCTAGCTAGTTCCTCATTGTTTTCTACTTGCTTTTGCTCTGGAATAGTAAGTTCACCATCAGTGCTCCAAATGTTTGGCAGAACTACAACAAAAAGATACCTCAAATTAAAATGTTAAATTACATAAATATCTAAGACAACCTGCTTAGAAATAATAGCTGTAAAAGAAACAGTTATTAGAAGTATCAAAATAGGATGTAACATTAAACAGTATTACAAGTACAAATACAAATGCTGCAGAGAGCTTTCTTGTGAGCAGTATTTAGACAGGTACTCTCAACACAAAAAAAATGGAAACAATAAGCATTTGGCTGTTCTGTGACTACAGCTACCTAACATATGTAAGTAGTAGCCACAGTTCCTACCCAAAGCCTTTGAAAACTGAGCCTATTCTTCTCTTCTAAGTCTGTTTTCTACTTATCTTGCAAAATATAATTTCATTTTATTTGCACAGACTACTTACATATCATTGAAATTACAGAAAGTAGGGCTGAGAATGGACATTCCATACTTCATCTAGTATTTCATGTTTTTGCATAAAGTAGGATCAGCTGCAGTTATTTCATTCCTGACAGTTAATTGTCTAATTTATGCCTAGAAACCTCCAATAATGAAGATTTCATGCTTCCCTGCACAATCTATTTAAATTTTTCTTGACAAAAAGGTTTTCTTGATAGCTAATCAAACTTCCTTCACCTGCCATTTAAGTCCATTGCTTCTTTTCTTACCCGCAGTGAAAGAACACTACAGCTTATTCTATTCCTGTTCCAAGCTATCATTTACGTATTTCATGATCGCTTTCAGGCCTATTCTATATCTCCTCTAACTTACACAAAGTCATATTCAACTTGTCCTGATAGATCATGAATTTCTAAAAGTTAGCACATAGAAAGTAAACAAGCCCTAAAAAGAGAGGTTTAACAAATGATTTCACCATTTTTCAAAATCTAAACTATATATACAACCACTACAAGGTAAATAGAAAACATCATAATTCTTCTGACTAACACTCCTGAGCATTGGGACTGTTTTCTGCTTTGAGGAAAAACATATACAAGCAGAAGTTTATTATTTTATGTCAATTTTGAAAGCTATTTTAAGAGCTATTTATTGTAAATCTTGCTTGAAGTTCTTAGCCACAAACTTCTAAGATCAGCATTTTGATATATATATTATTGTATCTAAGCAGATCTGAAAAATGGTACACATCCAAATCCAGTCGATGGCTGAGAAATCAGGATGCTCATTTATTAAATATTTAAATACCAATATGAACCTGCTCAGTCTACAGCAGTAATCATTCATTTTGAAAGCTGGTATTATATTCTGAACTTGACAGAGTTGTGACTCTTGAGCAACTTATTTATAATCACATTTGCTAAGTGTTTTGGTTTGTTTTTTTTAAGTCACCACAAGGCAAAGTATTATGCTGAGTTTTATTTATTATTTTAGGAAACTATTTAAAAGCCATACTCACTAGCACTTGATCTGACTGTTGTAGCAAGCATAGATGCCTCTCCATTTATAGACATAAAAGTAATAGCAGAAGCTCAATTTATTTTGACTCAAAACAGTTTCAAAAAAAGTCTGAACACACAGTGTTCTAAAATCTACAATACATTTAAGACTGTTGTTTTGATACCATTTGGAAGAAGATTAATCATCACTGAAATTACTCATTATGATAACATAGGGCAGCAGTGAAATTAGTTGTATGAAACATCTTACACCTCTCTGATGAAGACCATTTCCTGACATTACAGCAAAAAACAACAGCTGGGAGTTTTCCAAGTTTAAGCGGATCAGAACTCTATGTCACTGTCTACATGTAAGGCTAGTTACAAGTCAAGAACCTTAACCTACGAGGGTGTAAATTAATATATAAGAAACCAACAATAATTTTAACTTAAAATTACAAAAAGCAGAGAAAACAGTAGTTTCTTAATTCTGTGTTCTTCACATAATTGTCACAATATCAGAACACAGTAATAAAGGTCTTCTAGATGTACTCTGTAATCCTTTTATGTATGTAAGCTAATTAAGAACAAAGTTCTTAATTGAGACAAGTTGTTACGGTCACTTTAAGTTATACCATAATTGAAATTCAGTAATTTACCTTAAGTTACACAATGATCTATATAGTGAAAAGTACAAATAGCTCTTTCTAATAATGCAAATATTCTCAATTATGGAAGCTCACATCTAAAAAATATGAATGCCTATGATGAGATAATGGAAGTTATTTATATAAACCACAGGTACAGTACTTCCTATAAATCTGGTAAAAGAAAAAACTCTTTTTGTTGTTTCACTCTCCTTTTCTGAAGTGTATTTAAACATATTATTTCTCAGGAAATATTTACATGCTTAAGTACTTTTTTGAGTCAGAGGCCCCAGTACTACTAAAATTTCACATGAATCTCCAATGGAAAACAAATAATTTGGTTTTGTAAAAATATAATGTGTGAAGTTAGAATATAAGAAAGATTATTACAAATAGTGCATGTAGCTGAAATTTATTCTGGTCACTATGATGAATATTACAGAAAATTAGTGTGGACTGATTAAATATCCCTTGAGCATAAAGCATACATGTATTCATTTTTAGAAACATTGGTACTGTTCCATCTCCCTTTTTCATCTATAAAATCTGACCATCCTACTCAGTTTCTATTCTTATCACTCATTAATTTGCATAATTTTAACATGGCAGAATATAGCTAGCCTAGGAATACTTTTTTTTTTTCTTTTCCTATAATTACACTCATCATGAAAACTGTCAGTATCCTAATGAAGGATAATTTCTGCTATTATAAGAAGCTTAAGAGATGGTTTTCGTGAATAATTCTTATTATGGATCACTACACACAAGCAAAGTCGGAAGTAAAAACATGTGCTCTCACTAACAAAAATCCTTTTCAGGATGAATGAAGTTTCTAAACTACAGATAAGTATAGTGACTAGCCTTTAATGTAGTATTCATTCATACAGCCACTTATATGACCACAATATTGACAATTAAAAAAAGAAAAAATGACAGATAGTAACCATTTCTGAAAAGCCACCTTGTCTCTCAGAATACCTTCTGCTGTCAGTGGAAATACAGGTCCCACAAGATGATGATTCAGAATCAAGACTCTAATTCATCCAGTGGTCAGTGGTGATAGAAGTGTACATAACAGAAGAAAGACTGGTAACACTGCTGATAATTTAACTTATCTTTCAAATATAAAATCTGCTCATTAGAGTCAGAACAATGTAGCAAAGAAAGTTAAATTTCTGGTCTTAAAACAGACTCTATTTCAAAGTCTGAAAATACTGACTTCCAAAACAACACTTACAGAATAATCTAGAGATACTAAATTTTCTCTCCTCAAAATAATTATTCTTATGTACGAGTATCACGTTAATTCACAGATTATTTTTTAAATTACATTTCCATCTGATAGCTTTTTCTGGGAAGTTTCTTATTGAAAGAAAGACCACCTCATCTACCAGAAAACACTGTAAAAATGCGTATAAAAACCTACATTAGTATTTTTCTCAAAAGGAAAAAGATATCAAATATTTTATTTTCACTACTGGGAGATACTACTCTACCATAGTTTGAAGAGATGGAAAGGGCTTATAATTATCTCCTACTAACCCCACTTTCATGTAAATGATTTCATTTGTTTTGGCAAAGACTCAACAAGGAAAGCAAAGACTTCTTGATTGTTTCTACTCAGCAGTAATGTGATGGTATGCCATCACATAACATTCTTTTTGTTTTATATCAATCTACATTACAAAACCATTCACACAGCAGCAGATAGCACAGTCAGAGATGCATCCAGGACAGTTCTCATAGAATTTTCATCTTTTTTCATATCTTCCAACAGGGGGAGGGCTGATGTCATACTGGAGGCATGTGGAGGCATGAACTGTGTCCCCAGCCACATTAGGACTGTTTTGACTAGTTATCTACAGAGATCCATTCTAGGATCAATCAAATCAGAAAACAAAGCAAAAAAAAAAAAAAAAAAAAAAAAAAGAAGGCAGATTCCTGTAAACCAGACACATGCTGGTTCAATGGTTATTCTTCCATTGTCATTTTTTTATGCAAGTCCAGGAGTCACTTCCATCATTTAATTACTATACCTATGCCTCCAATAAACTCTCTTTCAATGGTACCATACAGGAAAATAAACCCTGTGCATGGACTGTATTATTTTTTTCCCTTCATTTAATCCTTACCTTCCACTGTTTGACCTTCTCTTCTAAGCATCTGGACAGCTCCTACATACTTCTTAAGTTGCACTTTTAGCACCTCATTTTCTCTGTTGACAGAAAGAACAGAATAAATAAATATTACTGTTTTCTCAAAATAGATTAAAGTCCCTCTCAATGGAAAAAAGTCATTCTATCTGTAATAATAAGCTTTATCTAAGTTGTGTCATCAAAATAAAAAAAAATTACTTACACATTAAAAAATACACCAACAACAGAGTACCAGGAAAATTCATCTTCCAGGGCCACATAGACACATCAGTGAAACAGACTGCCTCATAATCAAAAAGTTTTCATTAATTGTTTAATTTAGATTTTCTTTACTATGCTACACTGATGGCAGAAAAATTATACAGTCTACCTAAATCAACACTTGATTGTAAAAATAAGGATGGGATACTAGCACCTTAGTTTATATTTGAGGGGAAATAAGGATTCCAACCAACTGAATTTTAATCAAAGGTGACAAATTGCATGTCTGAAAATTCAATTATTTAAGCCCATTCAGTTAACCAAGTATGACAGATGTGTTTATACAGAAGAAACATAACTAAACTGTGTTGAAAGAGAGTTCAGACAACTTTTACTCTTCTTTAAGAAAATATCAGGGTAGAAATATATAGGTGCCACAGATGCAGCACAGAACATCACACGCGAGAAACCCACAACTGGTTAGAGAAGAGAGAACATGGGCAGGTCAAAATCATGTCTGAGGAGTGGTACAAGCTCTAGGGAAGACGAAACCCTAGATATGTAACAGCTTACGGAAAGCTATAAAGAGATTATACACAAAAAGGTAAACATTTTATTTATGAGAATTTATTTAAGAATGAGAAGTATTCAGAAACACATGCAGATATATTTGACAGACCTTATAATACTATATATATACATATACACACTATATATATACAATTATGTATATACACACACAAAAATAAAACTGCTGGTAAGAGCAATGCCGTAGTTATATATAAAAACTCTAGACTGGTACTGTATTCCTATTTCTATGGATTTAAAAAATCAGTTTTCTGAGCTATGTAACCTTAATTTTATTCAGTCCTTTAGTAGGAGGTTGCTAAGTAATTGAGATGAAACTACTGATTACCCAACTATGAAATTTTAACAAAGTCCCTGATGATTTTAGGCATTTTATGGCATTTTTCATTTCCTAGACTACAAAGAACAAGTCTTTTATTCCAGCAGATGGATGCTGATATTCAGATTAAGGGGAAAAAAAATAATCAGTAACTGAGTTTAATTCTACACACTATAGTAAAACAAGTCTAAAAAATTTATTCATGAAAAAAATAAAATTATATGAATGCTAGACAAAAATATTTCTCACCAGAAGTGTAAATATGTCTGCACGGAAATCCCTGTATACATTTACAATAGTTTTAGGGATTCTGATGGAATAATCATACACCATCTCATTTCTACATTTGAGAATAGACTCTGTGCCTTTTGTCAGAACTGAGAGAGCATAAAAAAAAAAAAAAATCAAAAAAATCCATTTTTTACTATTGTGCCTATCGACTCAAAATTGATAGAGTACACATGAATTTTAGAAAGACTTTAATTCACTTAAGGTTTTTGAGACAAGACTGAAATTCAAAGCAGGATACTATGGCCCAGTCACAATTTTCTAATATGCCTCTATATCATCTTATTATATCTGATTCTTTGACATCTCTTTCTCATTACTACTATTTAGCTAGATTACAAAGAGGGCCCATCCTGATATACATGAATTTATATAAGTCTTTTTATTGGAGGATGTTTAAAAAAAAAATTAGTAAGCACTCACTAATAAGTCTTTTATGACTTCAAGAGTCATTATATCAGATATTCATATCAAGTATTTTATAGGAGGAGAAAGTCCTGTATAGGAGTTATAGAGCAGATTTGCAGAGATTCTTGTCCAGCTGAACCAACAGTACTACATATTGTTAAGGAAGTTAAATATTTTTACGTGAAGGCCCCAGCTTTACTTCTGCAACTTTTCCAAACTTTACCATGTAACTTGAAGCAAAATTGTTAGCCTGTCACGAGACTAGTGATAAACACAATGCTTTCAGCATCTTTTGAAGTACTCCAAACAATTCCACATTCTGTGATGAAGAATAAGTGACAAGACCATGAGTACAAGTTGAAGGGGATAGAAAAAAAAAAAAAAAAAAAAAAGAAAAAAAAAAATCACGCTGAAATACATGGGAAAACAGAAACAGAGAACTATGCCACTAAAAGCACACCTATCCCCAAAACCTCGATTATAATGAATTTTCCTGCCTGATCACTTCTACCATGTTAATAAGTAGCTGAAAGACAGAATGATAATATGTCATTTTACCCTTTATCAGCTCATTGACAGAGGATGGCAATCTAGTATTCCTACAAATTACTCTTTTTGCTCAAATGGCACAGGTCAAGTGTGTGCTGTTGATTAAGCTTTATACCATTGGTGATTATTCATGCTTTTCTTTGGTTGTTTGATTATAAAACTAGAAAACTGCACATTGACAGCAACAATGAAAAAAAATATGAAGATCTGAAATCCAATCGCAAAAAAAATGGATTTAAAGCATCCTATGAAACCAAGACCAGAAACTCTTCCCCAGGTCTCTTTATAATTTGTTATTATTTGGGTACATACAAGAAGCAGATTAGCAGAACGTTTTTGAAGCTTTATGTCTTCAAGAGAAAGAAAAAAACATATGCATTTCCCCACCTTTGTTTATCCCTAAGACACAGTTGATTTCTAACAGAGCAGATTTATTTCCAAAATCTCTCCGGAAGTATGACTTGAGAAATACAAACACATTTAAATACAGCAACTTACAAATGCCACATATCTATAGCAGGAGGTTAAAATTTTATTCCATCTTAATTTTTTTCAAGCAGCTGTAGGGATTTCTCCATAGTTCTGTGACTATTCTCTGAAGAAAACCAGATAAAGATATTTCCAGGTTCCAATAAATGCATTATTTATAAGCTAAAGCATAAAGGATCAACCTTTTTTGGCAGAATATATTTTATTTTATAGCACTTATATCCAGTGAAATTACCTAAGATTCAGTTAAACTCTGTGGTTAGCTTTTTGCTTTAGTGTTTTTCCTGAAGATAAATCAGAATATTACAAAATTGTAAGTATCCACCTCTCAGCCATTAGCAGTGTCTTTCCTTAAAACCAGAGGAAAAATACAATACTAATTATCATAATGAATCAGTATATAATAACAACTGCAAGCAAAGATATGAGGAATAAGTATCAAAACCTTAAATAGTGTTACATGTGTAACTTTCATCAATTTTCTAAAATGTAAAATACCACCACATACAAGCCCTAAAATGGTACTTCTCTTGTTCACACATACTTACAAATTCACCAGAAACTATGTATTCACAGGTTATATGAAAAATCTGAAATATATTAGTAAACTCCTGTACTGAAACCAAATTCAGAAAAAGCAAAGATGTTCAGAAAATTTCTTTCAAGACTATGTATATGGTCAGAACTTGTTTATACAGCAATACTTCACTGGCATTACTATAGTATAAGGTATCCTTTTCACCAAAGCTATGAAATAAAACATTATTAGTAAAAGATTTACTTTTCCATGGCAATATTTAGTGACATTGATCATACTAATACAGAAACAAAACATTGCGTTACTGAAATAAACTTTATTTAAATATTCATGAATGGTACACAACCGCTGAACACAGCAACAACAAGCTTGCTTATTTATTATGTTTTTTGGAAAACTAGCTGGAATGACAAGGAATGATCAATTACATAATAAGTTGTCAAACACCTTCAATTCCCTGACTATTTTTGAAGCAAAAATAATTACACTTCCTCTCCATTTTACTATTTAAAAATTAGCATTTAAGGAAACTCTGCCTGAAATAAAACTCAAAACTACTATAAGAACAATAATTTCTTTTAGCTGCATAAAGCAAGTTCACATTTTGGAAAACATATACCTAACTTTTATATACATAAGGAATGAAAAGATAGCACGCAATATTACTGATAAATGCATATCCTCACCAAAAAGTTAATTCCTGCCAGAAAAAGTAGCAACTGTTCCCTAAGGACTTTCATATCGAGAAGATGAATGTAACAGGATAACAAGTGGCACGTTCTCACATCAAAGGGAGGACAGTATGGAAGAGAGATGGTGTTCATATGGAACACAGCAGTGGATCAGCGCCCCTACCAGGACTTCTGCTGCATTCCTGAAGAAGGACCAAGGCCCCGCAGTTCCCCCACTTTCCTTGGCCTATAGCATCCTTTTTAAAAACTATCATTATAGGGGGACAGGAGAGTTGAAGGAGCCTGGCTATTTTCCAGTAATGTCCATAAAGTTTCTGTGACAGATAGTTATGCTTATTGAAGCACATGTATATACAGTTAAGGTTTACTATGAAAGTCAAATTAGATGCATCTTATCTTAATCAGAATAACATTTCTGGCTGCTAATACAAATGAATACCAGTAATAAAGTGTTTTATAAAAGTTGACTTCCAAAAATTTTATTAAAAGGTTAAAGAACAATATACCTTTAAGTTGCGATTTTTGTTGCAGAGGAAGAAGCTTTATGGGACTTACTTTCCTACTCCTTAACAAAAAAAAACCAAACAAACCCAAAAACAAACAAAACAACAAAACAAAACAAAACACCAAACACACACACAACTGCTTCTTGAAAAAGATACAAAAATTCCTCTACGTCTTTTGTAAAATGAACGTTGTAAGAATAGAATTTGAAATATAATAGTTTCTCATGTATCTCAACTATAGTGGCCTGAAGAATTCTATAATTAAGTTTCTGGCACAAACCTCAGACATTAACAAGTGCTTTCTGTGGTGCTTACTCCTCAAATGAGTTTTATTTCTATATTTAGGTTTACAAAAAAAAAAAAAAAATCCAACTGATCAACAAATCTCTATGTTTTGATAAAAATGTAGTGTTTTAGAAAACACTATAAAGGTACCAAATCTTCAAATAATTAAAAAAAAAGGCACAATTCTTGCAAATTAACTGAAATAAACAGTGTACTGCAAGAATATCTAGAATCTATATACAGAAGTTGGGCTAGATAACTTCCAGAGCTGCCTTCCAACCGGAATTATCCTATGATCTTACTATTAGGAGGTATAAGATCACAATTAATTGTAATTATACATATGCTAAATGAAATAAGAAAAATTAGAACTATTATTCATAGAAGTGGAAGTTGAACTACATACAATGCAGTGAGATTATAGTATAAAACCAATCTCTGAAAAAAACTGTAACAAGGAATAATGTGTTAACTGCTTGTCATGAAAGACAAACACCATATGCATGATAAACTGAAAACTATTCTCAAGATAGCTTCGCAACATAGAATGTTTTCAAATCTAAATTATGAAAGGGCTCTATCTTAGCACTGATATCACATCTGAAAAAGCAAAAAATGGATCTGTGGGTAAGAAATATGAGGAAGTTGATTATCTTATGAAATAAAGTATCTCTTTATAAAATGTTTTTGTAACTTGTGACATGTCACCAAATAACTAAGCAGGAAAAAAAAAAAAACGTTGAATATAGGAATATTCAAATTAGCTTTCACAAGCAGGGACAAGAGATATTTCTTCCTCTTTCTAAGAAGCTGTGTAAGGTAAGTGATGCAATCATTTCAAAATGCACACAACACAACATTTTACCCATCACTGAATCACTATGGCTCTGAATGAAGTGTTGTAAAACAGATTAATATAAGATGCCAAATCCAAAGCAATGTGGCTTAAATAATAGACACTAGATAAAAGGAAGCAGATTAGATTACAGAATTTACAGTAAACAGAAGATACATAAAAGTGTAAGATATAGTCAAATTCCCATCCCCCAATTCTCTACACAGCGCATTATCATCATCTCTTTCTAGCTGCTTTTCTTGCTACCAAGCCTGTCCTTTGTAAAATGCTTTCCTCCAGCATTTCCGAATATAGTCTAAGAATATACAAACCAAGATTATCCAATTTTGAAGTCATCTCCAATAAATTTCTTTGCCTTGCAAAGGGATATAATAGTATTCCATACTGAAAAAAAAAATCTCAATTAAAACACTTCAGAATTGCTAAGAAGCCACTGGCACAGTATATCCATGTAATTTGAGAAAGGCTCATTGACAAGGGGAAAAAAAAACAAACAACAAAAAAACAGTTTACAAAATTATACTAGAGAGTCTATTTAGTCTATTCTATCAGAAGGCTGGGAAATATGTTGAATGCTGAGACTGCTCCTTTTGAAACAGTATCATAACTGTTATGAAAAAGCTATTAAAATACTTCACATGGAAGAATTAAATTACCACTACTTTAAACTAATATGACCTAAGAATATTTCCATTTTTCAAAGAGAACCTGGGAAACAGAGGAAAATTTCTCTAAGCTGGCATTTTGTCTAGGAGACCAGAAACTCTTTGGACAGTCTAGGAGACCAGCTGAATAAATCAATTTTGCAGATATGCAGAAGTAATCATTCCAACACTGACTTATGTGTCACCGAAATTTATGTTCTCAAAGACTTCAGGAGATATTTATGTCAAATTCTTCACAAGAGCTTTGGGGACACACATAAACATAAGCTCTCATAATGTGAAGCATATTTGTTAATCAAATTACAATAGGTTGTTACTGAGTTATTTTCTTTGCCTTAAGATGTTCAGAATATTGCAATTGAGGAAGTTTTTCTACTCTAGTCATGTGATCAATTGCTTTCAAGGTAAACAGTGAGGTTTCACTATTATAAAATATCTGAAATTCAGTTTCCTCTCAGCTGGTGCATTAAGCAACACTTACAAATCTTTCCCAAAATTTTTGTTATTTCAAACTCTTCAAATCATTTAGCTTACCCGAATTCCTGGTGTAAAATACTATTTATTAAAAAAAAAAAAATCTTACTACCCTTACTATTGCAGCAGCATCACCTACAGCGTACAAAGTGAACCAACAAACGAATGCAGAAAAAAAAACTATATTCAAAAATAACTATATGCAAAGTTTCTTATGTGCTAGAAAATGAGTTGCAATGAATCATTGAAGAAATGCATCCAAAGTCCAAAATAACCGGTGATGCAAGAATTTGTTGTACCTAAGCAGCTCTCAACACTGTTTTTATCATGTGACAAGGTAAACTGACTTTCAGAAGAACGAACAACACAACATACCCAGTCTCCACAGCAGTATGAGAAATTAAACTTTTAAAAACAAGTTGGCTAAGTGAGCATCTCTTTAGATCTTTTTATAAGAGCTCATTATCTAGTCTTTGAAAAGGTATGGGCATGACAAATATCTGATTCACCCATATGTCACTGGAAATTCTAAAACTGTGGGGGAAGTGAGTCAAAGAAATATGAATATACAATTCCTATAACCTGAACTATGAATATTTAATGATGAAGTATTTGCATTGTCTCAATTGCCCTACATCACATGAATGTCAAACCCACTTATGCGTATCTCTTCCTCCCTCAAAGTGAGTAGTTTGGTTTGATGTGTCATCAAAAGCAGAATTCGTATCTTAATACTTTTTTTTTTTTTTTTTTTTTTTTTACAAAGCTTTATATTTATCATTTTAAGATACTAGTTTTGCTATGCAATAAAAAGCTTATATGACTCTCAGCTGTGGTACTTCATGACTGACACTAAGCACTCTGCCTGCACATGCAGAAAACAAACACTTCTCTGTGATAAGGCACAGATTACTAATCTTATTTAACATTTGCGATAGGTTTGTTGTTCACTATACATGTGAATCATCCCCAAGATCTTAGGCATCATAGGTTACTGTAGACCTTATTTAGAATTGCAAGAAGAAAATAATTTCACTATCACAGCAACATTCAGAGGCCTTTCTTAGGCTAAATCACGTTTAGATAAGGGTTAAAATTCTTTTCTCTCAGCATAGCTGTGGCACAAAGTCAAGCTGGAGGCAAGTCACTACTGGAGCGGATGTTTTTTAACACCTTCATTAATGACCTGGATGCTGGGACACAGTGCACCCTCAGCAAGTTCACTGACAATACAAAACTGGGGAGCAGCTGTTACACCCGATGGTTGTACTGTCATTCAGAGGGACCTGGACAGGCTGGAGAAATGGATGCAGGTGCATCCCTTGAAGTTCAGCAAGGGGAAATGTGAAGTCCTGAATCTGGGGAGGAATAGCTCTAGGCACTTGTATGTGCTGGGGGCTAACAATCAGCTCTACAGAGAAGGATATGGGAGTCCTGGTGGACAAGCTGATCACGAGCCAGCAATGCACCCTTTGCGGCAAAGAAAGCCAACAGCATCTTGCACTGCATCAGTAAGAGCATTGCCAGTCGGTCACTGCCAACAACACTGCCCAGAGGGGCTGTGGAGATAGACAAAACCTGACCGGAAATGGTCCTGAGCAACCTGTTCCAGCTGACCTTCCTAGAACTAGGTGGAAGCAGTTGCACCACTTCAGAAATAGGTACTGTTGATACTGTTTCGCAATAGCTGTTATTTATGATATAGTTGTTGATAAAAGTGGTCAGCCATGAAAACCTGACAACAGGACAAGAAAAGAACACCAGACCAAGGAAAACAAAGTCATGCTTAAACAATCAGATGGAAGAAAGAGAGATCAGACAGAAATGTCACTGAAGAGGACTGACAATCCATACTGCTTACATATGTGAGGATACATACAGAAGGGTATTTGTGTCAGCAACAGCTGACACTGACATATTCTGTATTACTGAAAGCAATAAATATAGACATAAATATTCCTACTCAATTTAACTGACACTGAGATCACTCTGCATTATTTCTACTGACTGAAATAAGAACCTGCCGGGAGGAGAGGGGTTCCCATATAATCTCAGTGTGGAAATATACTGGACATCTACCAGAGGAATACTGTGGAGTAATGTTAAAATAAAATAGTCTCCAAAACAAGTCCTCACTGACTCCAGGTATGAAAGCTAGAATCACAACGATCTAGCTTGTACATTTTTGAAAAATAAAACAACAAACAAACAAACAAAAAAAAAAAAACACCCACCAAACGTTTTAAACAAGCACCAAAGCACCCTTGTCTACTACAAGAATAAGCATTTCAGTATTCTCAGACAGGAACACCACTTTGTTCACAATAAACACTGACGCAGTGTTTCTGTTCCCCTTCCCACCTCCTTATTTTTGAAAGCTGTATCAGATTTGAGGTTTGGAAAATACTGTTTGCAGACAGTGCTAGGTACTTTAACAACATTAAGAATATCATATAGCCAATAGAAAGAAAAAAATCAAGGACATTGATACAGTGATTTGGTCCAGATTGGGCAGACAGCTATACCAATAATCTCCCAAATATCAAGCAAAACAAAAATTAATTGGGAAAAAAAAAGAGGGGGCAAGGGGAGCTAGAACTGGACAAAATAGATATATGAAGAGAGAAGAGTCTTACATTTACCTTACACATACATGTATTCCTTTGTATCTAGTCTCATTATGTAATTGTTGCTATTTTCATGGCTTATATTTCTTAATACTAGTCTACTTACTTTTTTAAAACTAATCTTGATGTTTTCATAAGTTCAGCTCGCTAATATTCTTTCCTCTGGAGATGTAACAATGGTTTTACTAATATTTTAAACTCTCACTTACTGTTAACAAAACAAAAACCACAAACCCACTGTATTTATCAGAAAAATCTTTCAAAGGTTTTTTTCAACTTAAATTCAACTAAAGGCTATGGGATTTTTAGTCCTAAATCACTTACATTCTCCTGAAAACTAGTCTACTTCAAAATTATTTTTTCTTGTCTGCAGAATTTCTCATTCCCTTGTTCCACTGCTGTTACCTTTTACGACATTTTCAGTGCTTCTTACCGTGCCAAGGCTTGGACTTTTGTGGCATGTCGCTCTTCCTGTTCTGCTACTTTCCTTCTCCAGTTGTCCATTTCCTGCCTTAGCACTGCGGAATGCTCCATCTCCCCATCCAGCAGATTTCTCAGAGATCTGGAGGAAGGCAGCAGCCTCTGTTAGAACTGCCAGCATTACCTAGTAATTAGAGAATACTCTACGAATCACAGAGTAGGTTGCCTGAATGATACCATTAATGTCATCCTAAAATGTAATTATTTAATGTAATAAATTCACCTGAATTGATTATACAAATATATGAAAAGCTACAATGAAAAAGGACCCAATCAAAACAGTTGTAAGTGGTTACTATTAATTTGTATTACAATCTCATCAATGTGCCCAAAGCATAACCTATTCTGGTATCTACTGTACCACTATGCAGAAATAATTTATTGCAGAAAACATCTTACGGTGTCAGTGCTCCAGTGAGAGTCCATACATCTCAGGAATAATCTATAAGCAATATATTTACTAGCAAGAACAGGAGACAGGTAGGGGTCTTGTTGCTACTGACAGCACTGCCTTAGATGTCTGTGCAAAACCTTTGATGAGATAGCAAAGGTCAGCATGATGCATAATGGTAAAACCCAAACCATCCTGGTCCTTCTGCCAAAAAATACAAAGCTGAATGGGGCAGTAACTTGCAATTATAGAAGTAGGGAGGATAGGAGGCAGGAAAATAGGATCAGTTGGTAGTCTCAACATTTGAAAAAAAAAAAAAAAAATCAAAAACACACCAAAATAAAGTATCTATAGAAAACTGCAAACTATGAAAATAGTCCTAGTACAGCATAACAGTATGTCTTGAATACATTTGTATTTTCATTCATCTAATGATGTGTTCCAACAGACTAAAACACAAAGTAGGTTTGATACCATTTTAAATAAGCAACTTATCATTTTTACATTTACATCATCATTTTGCCCCAAGTGAACATAAGGACACTCACTAATGACAGCCACCTTCAGCATAACATTGTTAGCCATCCTACATCACTTCTGCACCAGAAGGCGAAAAAAGGACGTTTTCTGAATATTTGTATAAAGACAAACTATTACTCATTTGGAAGGCTATCTTAAGAGATCTTAAGAATCATTCGGCTGTAAGTTTTGGTTTCAAAAAACTACAACTGGCAAAAGCTCCCAAGATAAAAAGAATTATACGTGATTTGAATTCAAATGAAAAATCTGACCTGCAACATTACTCTCCAGTATCAACATTTGCGTATTGAAGTGTTAATCTTACCTTTCACAGAAAAATAATATATACATCAAAAAGATTACACAAAGGTTATGCATAGCTTTACACAAAGGACAGCTTGTACTAGAGAACAGATTTTTTTAAAATGGTAGTGCCTCTTGACTGGAAAAAGAAAACTACCTATTCTGTTCTTCCAGTTCATCCTTTCTATTCATCATGGCCACGATAGCTTGACGAAGTTCATCTAAAGAGAAAGGACAAAAAAGATTAATTTCTGCATGTATTTTTGCTCATTTCAGATATAAAAGTCACGTACATAGTGGCACTAATTCAGCATCACACTTAAAATGATGGAAACATCATTTGTTACTCAGCAAAGCACAAAAAAATGCTCTGAATCTCATCACTAATTTGATCAATCTTTCAAAAATGGTATTATCTAACACAGTATCAGTGGTATTGAACAAATCTAATTAGTCTGCACCAGGCTTTAATACAAACATTTACTAGTTTGCCTGTGGCTGCAGCTGTTTTGTTTTAATCGCAGACATATGGGACTGCACCTTTTCACTACATGAATATTAATGAGATATGCTGTTACTTGTTTAATGTCTTCAAATCGCTTCTTTTCCTTGCTATAAATTCTGACATAGGAAATGTAACTATTATAGTGAGACGAAAGTAGAGACAGTGTCATTGCTTCCTCATGGCATATTGTTTCAAGCTCGGTTTTTAAGACTATCTTAAAGACAATGGGATTTCTGAATCTTGCAATCTCTTATGAAAACCTTTTTATTTCCTACAAATACCTTGAAAAATACTTTCTGTCATTACACCAAGAATGAAAATTACTAAAAAAAACTTGTGACAGAATTTTAGAATTTTGAAAGGCTTCTTTAGGGTTTGGTTTAACAGTGAACCAGAGTAACTGAATACCATACAGAAAAGCATCAGCTCAAAGCACTGTCTCACCTGGAGTCCTTCTGCTTTTATAAAGGTTTTACCATGTAACTGTACAGTTGTACTATTTACTATAGTTTTACAGAAAAATACTAGGACTTAATCATCTAATCTAAAACAGATTCTGTCTTTCAGATCTTGCATGAATACATGAAATGTAACAGATCTTCAAAGATTTGAATGGCTTCTAACAAACAGCAGAATGGACACGTGCTAAATTATGATTTTTTTTTTTTAATTTCATTAACAATTTCATTTATGTTAATCAATACTTTTGAGAGCTTCTGTAGGGACACAATTATATTGCCAACCCAACAGTTAAGTGAAATGCTCCTTTGTTTATATGTAAATAAATCAGCCAATTCTGTTCTGCAACTATTCAAAGCAGATGTCAGCAAATTCCTTGTGCTTTTACGGAAAACATACTAACAGAACAGGTATTACTTCATTTCTTCAAGTAAGCAAAGGCATTTCACAACTTTTTTTCCCCTTTACATTCTGTTCACTGATTTACCTGTATCTTTCTTAATATTTTCTAGAGTTACAGAAATTTTTGCCAGTTCAAAAAAAATTTAACATTGTCCTGTGGACAGATTAAGTCTGACAAACTCTAGTAGTGGACAAAGCACGAAAGGTTTTACAACGTCAATTGATCAAATGTATCAGTCAGTGCAGACACCACACTTCGTCTGGCATTGGTAATCTGCTGGTAAATCCACCCTTGCAGGATTTGGCAGGGTTCTCCTATCACTTGAAATCAGCCAAAGTTCTTCGTGCTATATTTTTTCCAAAACATTTCTGCTTCTTTGCACATGAAGAAAGTCAACGATTATTTTCCCACCCATTCTACACTACAGCTTGATAACTAACTGACATTAGCAAGAAACATTACAGTAGGTCATTAGAGGGATTTTGCACTCCATTAATTCAGCACAGAAAGAATAATTACTTTTCTACAGTAACTTAGCATCTTTATATGAGTTCTCTATACAGCTATCAAAAAAAGAAAAAAAAAAAAAGGGGAAAAAAAATAAACCAAATCCTGTAGAAAAGCCAAAAGTGAAATTTGTGGGTATTAAATACTAACACACTTTGAAAGAGACTTCTACTTTCTCCCTCAATTATATTACTCATATTCAAACCCAAAGCTGTGATTACATGGCTACTTTAATCAGTCTTCCTAAGGCTGTGCTTTCAGCAAAAAGGACATTCCAGCTTGCCTTACCCATCATTGCTACCACCTCCCTTGTCCTGGCACTGGTATTTATATACGGTGTCCTAGCAGGAATTGATCCAGCTCAAATGATTTTCATTTGTTTTTCTGCTGGGCTACTTTTCAGATAAGTAGTTGCCAAGTGATCTTATAGTTGAGTTTAATACTGTTCCTGGCACAAGGCACATAGCAGAAAGCAGTCAGGGCAGAACAGAACACCTTTTTAGTCAGTAAGGATGAGGAATAAAAGGTGGAATACCCTTTTTGGCAAGAATAAAGCTCATATTGCATTGAAGTGACCGGGTAACCACTGCAATTTATGTAGCAATTGTAGTAAAATTTAGAATGGAAAGATTATATATGACAAAACATGCTGTGCTCCATTATTTTCATTACGATTTTTCAAAAGATGGTCTATAATAGCTTCTATTAACTAGCATTTGGGGGGAGGGAAGGGGGAAGGGAGAAATACCACACCCTACATTCTGAGACTTAAGTATTATATTTAGTTATAAAATATTAAATTTGGTGATCATGAAATTCAACACACTTAGTATTCTTTTGGTCATGATGAGACACTGCCACTTTGAGGGCTGATTGGAAAGGTTGGGATTTTGAGGGGATTTTTTTTGTTTGGGTTATTTTGTAGTTTGTTGCTGGGGTTTTTTATCAGTGGAAAATTGGTGATTTGTAACATTCCTGAAAATAATAATATGTAGTGTCATGAAAATGGACCACAATCCATCAGCCTATCTGTGAAATAAAAAATTGCTCTAAGGATGAGAAAAAAATAGATTAATCCAATAAGTGTTCAAGCCATTTACAACACAAGCAAAAAACATCCATAGTAAGCTTTCAGTACAGTAACACTCTATAACAAAATAAAGATCTTTAACTATGAAGTTGAATTCAGATTCTTCCTCAAGAAAGCATCAAGTCATTGCCATTTTAAATATTTCAAGAGTATCATTAAAATATTATAATGCTCAGTCTGAGTTACTTGATGTTGTTTCTCTGACTGAATAAATTAAAGCCATTGCTACTCAGACAAGTTATTGTAGCACTGGCTCTGCACTTATGCTGGGGTGACTACTCTAATTGCCTGTATGCATACTCAGCCTCTTTAAATGTGTACTGATTTATTAACATTTAAACAGTTGAAGCTATTACAAATTGTCTCAATTTTTCTAATTTTACCAGCCTATTCAAATTGTAACCTTAACTTGACTAATAACTTAATCTTCTTTGCCTTATTCCACCCGGAATCTTCTGCATTAATAGAGAGTTGAAACCCCATCTCCTCCCACCCCACTCTCCAACACACACTTAAGTAAGCAGAGCATGAAAGCAAGATTCTGTTAAAGACCATGGTTTACATAAAAGGAGAGGAAAAAAAAAAACAACCTCTTGAAATAAAAGATGTTAAAATGCTTTTTGTTTCCATTTGCCTCATTTTTTCTGAAAGTTATGGAATTGACAACACTGTGGAGACACAGCAAAGCAGAAACTCCAAATTTCATTATTACATTATTATATATTTCATTATTACAAAAATCAATGCTTGATTTAGGACCACAAAAGTAAAAAAAATACTTCATATTCAGGATTTCTTGCTAATTTAGTTCAACTACTGATAGCAGTGGAAATGTGGAAGAAAGCATCAACACAAACAACTAGTCTGCACTAAGAGCCCACGGTTCCAAGAAGCCTTGTACAGCCTGTGCTTACCACAGCAAAGATATTGCTTCATTGCTGTTATTTCTTCTTGAAGTGATGAGTATTGAGAAGTCATATTTTCTACTGATTACTCAAAATACAGAGTTTATCATCAATACTTCTTTAACCTCTCCATCCACAATAAATATAAGGGAGTCAGACATTCAACTAGTGTAATTGAATAAACAAAAAGTTACAAAGAAAAAGAAAAACCAGGAACTTTAATTTCATGATCTTTTGATGCAAGTAACTGAATAGAACTAAAAGGATACCATCCTATTTAATGCAGGCATAACATTCAAAACTTTCAAAAATCTTACTCTCACAGAGCCTTCTTGAAAAAATTTAGCAGTGTGTCAGAACAGTCAGCTGAATGGAAAGTAAACCCCGTAACATACACTGCAGCAGGTTCACTTCAAAACTGACAGAACATCCACAGTTCACAAGCTTTTGTCTGTGTGTTATGCCTGCCTCTGAGACCAGTGTATGATCATAACCTGATTTTTTCAGCAGACTTATGTCTCATTCATTGTGTGGTTTAGAAAAAAAAAAGAATAAATAATTTTTAAAAAATCAGGGTTGTAGCAGCAACCATAAATTTGGCATTTCCTGACTTCTGGACTTCACAATATCAGTATTTTTCTCCCAGGTTTTGTTTTGTTTTGTTTTTTTTAATAAAAAAGGGGGAGTATGGTAAAGCATAACCATTTTGGAAAAACTGTTTGATGTTAGAGGTTATGTCCTACTTCTGAACTGCTTTGTGCTTGGTATGTCATTGTCCTGGTACTATACATTCTGTATTGTAACATTAATGCAAAGAGCTACACTACTGTTATTAAGGATCACCATTCAACACCAACATATCTAAAATTCAAGTGATAATCAGATTTTCAGACAGCTATAATAACTAGTGAAGTCTTTGCAATTATGTAGTCTTAAAAGGTATTTTTGCAACAACTAAGAAAAAGCATTCCCATGTGCAAACCAGTAATTCCAAAGCATGCCCATGAGTACACCATGAGTAAACAAAAAATAACAAAAATCAAGGGATGTGCTAATTACATTTTTCATGTTAAAACTCACTTTTTAAAGTGTTTGATGTTTTTTAAAAAAAATTAAACTTATCTTTTATTGTGGAAATTAATCTGTAGTACCTAATTACTAATAAAGCAAATATTCACTCTAAAACATTTTTTTATTCACTTGCATACTACATGCAAAATCTAGCTTCTATAAAGCTTTTGTAAGTCCACATTCAGAGCATGAAATCTATAAAAAAGTGCCATGCTTTAGGAAACACCTGTCAATTTCCCAGCAACCTCCAGAAAAGTCATAAGTTCCACAACTCTTCTGCTGTTTAGCCAAAGACTGAGTAAGTATCATTTGCAATCGCTTGTTATGAAGAATGAGCTGTAAGTGCAATCATCTCTCAGTGTACACAAGGCCATGCAGCACTCCTCTGCAATCCTGCAGATAGAATATCAGGGTGGGCTGGGAGCAGTCTACAGGAGTGATTTTTTTATTTTCCTGAGTGCAAATTTACACAGATATTTTCAGAGACAAATAAAACTTTCAGCAGACTAGTTACATCTTAAATCAGAAGTCTGACCTTTAAAGACATGCTCCCTAAGCTGTCTACAATGAACACTGGCTATTAAGGTTTTATTTAGTGCTCCAAAATCTTGTAAATATTGTCATGTCAGTATTAATAGGACAAATTTTAATAGGAAACAATTAGACAATACAGTGTTGGCCTTCTACCATATAGAAGGGTCCTGACCGAAAACTGCAGCTTTTTTCTCAGTGATGAAATTTATACACCCTCTTTCCACAGCTGTGCTTTCAGAGAAGTCACAAGAATTTAGTACATGTCAGTGACCAACGGCAACCAAGTTACAGAATAGCTCAGAAGCTATTTAGAGGACAGATGAAGTACAAAAACATAAACCTTATTTTACTAACATAGCCAGGATAAAAATATAATACCTAGGTTTGATTATTCAGTAAAGGTCTTCAGTGATCATGAAAAACTGGGTGCTTTCTCAAGTATATATGAAAAAATATGAAATATTGTAAAACACTACAACTTTTACTAATGTTTACAGCTAAGCCCAACTTTAAAAACTGAGAAAATTATTGTGGAAAAACTAAATTCCCAATTATTTACTAAATATAGCACTGTAATCAAAGAATACTGTAAAGAAAGACAGAAGGAGCATCGTTCTAAAATGAAAGTTTGGAACTTCCTTTTTTTTCCACCACAAAAACAAAATGGAGAGACTTGTGCTGGTAGCACAGATTTTTGTGGTGTAAAGCAATGCTGAAAATATAATCTTCCAAAGACAGTAATTGGAGGAAAGTTGTGATTCAAATATGACAAGATAAATATGATTTTTTAAAAACTGGAAAATGACATCATGGAATAGGCGCATAAATATAAAACTTCTGACAAACTTAATTCCTTATAAAACTGGTTATAAGACATAATGATCTGTAAAGAGGGACAAATTTTCAAATGGTTTCTCATACAGTGAAACTCTAACTATGGATTAGGATTTCTCTTGAGGGGTATCAGTATTTTTTTGAGATGTATCGGCTTCTAAGTTAACCTATACCTTACAAATGCATGAAACACAAATTCAGGAAAATAATTTAAAATTGCAGGAATTTTAAATTACAGCTTCTCATAAAATAATTTTCTAGCCTGCATATCAAAATAACGGAGAAAATGTTAGTACTATACTAGTAAATTGGAAAGGAAGCAGGAAAATAATAGATTTTTTTAAGAATATCATTTTAGGCTTTGTCTTCAGAAGTAAACAGCAGAAAAATCCAGTCACTGGAGACCTCATAGCTCTTCTCACTGCACTACTGCATTCCATTTTTCTTGTCTGATGTGTCAGAATTAGTTGCTACGCAACCAAGCTATAAGCCTCACCATTTAATAATTCTTCTAATTGCAAAAGAGAAAAAGAGCTTCAGTGTCTAGATTTGTCAAAGCACTGAATTCTTCCTGTACAGAGAATCTACAAGCAGTAATAATGAACTTGAGAAAAGCATTTTTATTGAATGTATCTGGGATCACCTATTACAAAGGTATTAACGTATATATATAGTCAGTTGAATTTTTATTATAATGATAATTAGATTATTTACTAAGTGAGATTGTTCTGACATGCTTCCTGCTTTACTTCCACCAAAACCTTCTCTGAAATGGGAAACTAACGACAGCGTGTATGCTTCTGTTGATCCTGTGGTTCACTTCATTTACAAATTGCTAAGTATCAAGAATTTAAAATCTCAAGATTTACTTTCTATTGTATAGTTGTCTTAACTACATATAGGGCCTAACTGAGCAACTGAAAGAGACCAATTGCGGCCCCTGCTGGTACCTAACACACCTTTGAAAGAAATCAATAGATTAATAAATTCAGTAAGTTTTCCATTAAAATTCTATTACTGAAAAATAAAATAATAATGTAAGAACAAAAGGACATTGTATTAGTAACATGAGCAGAGAATATCCAGTGACCAAAGTATCACAATAACTATCAACAGTAACTTCTTCTACACCTTCCATTTTGTCACTTAAGAGTCTCAAACTAGTCTTCCGCTTCATAAAGTACTGTGTAAAATAGGATTTTTCAGCTTTGTAACGTTCAATCAGCAAACCCATGCCAGAACCTGAAACAGTACCAAGCAAAAATGCATAGTCTAACATACACTGACACAGATATCATTTGAATATGACATTTGAACATACAATTAGAATATTTTAAGGGTTCATTCATTTTGATAATTTCATAAATCAATTTTAGAAAAGAATCTTGGGTGCATCACTTCTAACTTCCCAAATTTAATAATTTAAAATTTTTACCTATTTAAATTTATAAAAAGCAACAAACACATGCCTCAGAGCTTTAGGAACAAAGTTATATCCACCAGTTCAGTTATAAAACTTTTTCTACAGTGAGGAAAATAGAACCATACTGGCTTACATGTCTAGACAGCTAGTCAATTTAAGAACTAGGTCTTTGTTCTACAAGTTTATATGAAGAGAAAAGATTCAAAATGGGGTAAACAAACTGCCTTCGACAGCAAAGGCTATTTTATCCTGTCCAGCTCAGCTCTTAACACAGGAAAATATGATTGTCCTCCACCTTAATCTTAATGCTTATGAAAGCCCATATTTATGTTTGGAGCAGATTTCCATATCAAAACCACAGAATGAGTGTACACAGAAAGAGTTCCTGGTTTGTTTGGGCTTTTTCCATACTACGCATTAATGGAAGCAGGCAAAATAACTAAGATCACATCAGAAACAACCATTATTGTTATCAGCAGAGATTTAAAGATGTTAATCAAATTAAAATATTATTGTTCACTTAACTACTCACTACTTAACCACTATGAAGATGACATTAGCTTCTCTTTCCATGGAGAATGTCATATCAGTTGCAATGAACCATAACCTGGGATCTGCCAATTCAAAAATCATTTTAGAGCAGTCATTTCTAACATGGCCAGCATATCAGAAATGAAGTGCTGTATGCCCTTCTAGGGCATTTTACTGAAATAAGAAATAGAAATGAAGAGTTATATAACTACAGAAGTTAATTGCATCAATCTAGATACATCAAGGAAGTACTTACTAATTGTCATGGATTCTGGCACAGTGGCTGAAGGCAACATAGTGCTTAATGTATTCACTTGAGCTGGAGGACTGACTTCCACTCTAGTCAAAAAAAGTACAATATCATCAATAAATGAAAACAAAATCCTGAATTCAAAACTAAAGAAAAAAGCATTCCAGAAACTAGAATTGTCATAATATTCACCCATATTCAATCAACTGATGTTTAATTATCCTTTAATGCATCTGTTTTCTGATTTAATAAACACAAAAAGATCTAAATCAACAGGCCGTGGAGAATACAGTAAAAAAAATAACACAAAAACCAGCATAAAGCCTATATTCAAAAGCAAGAGGTTAAGTTTGCCTGATATTTGACATGACTACATGATTTCAAGATAATTAGGAAAAGTTCAATATATGAAACCAAGCAAAAAGGGAAGTGTAGACTTTTGCATTTGTCTTTCCAAACATTTGCTAAAGTACCCTGATGAATAATTTGTTTTCCAGTACTGAGTAGCTATGCATTAGGTAACAATAAGTTGGCAGCTACAGGGTGAAGACTTTTTTCTTTCAAGAAAAACGTATTTGACACATACCTGTAAGGAAGATCAGATCTTCTCTGAACCAGTTCTACTGCATGAACAACATGTTCATGCCCCTCTCCATTCACCAAGTTATCTAAAGCATGCATAAAGAATGCATAAGCATTAGATTTCTTAACAGTACTTTAAAAATAAAATAAATTAAAAACAATACCAGAAGGAAGGTAGTTATATTTTTAACTAGAAATACTCATATTTACTAAAGCTTTTAAACACTTTAAAATTCTCTCTCTAAGGCTCGCTTCTGCACATTCATGCTGAATGCCAGCAGGATTGTAAAGTCCCTTAGAAACACAGCCATCAGTTTAGAAAAACAAATAGTACTGCACAATTACTAAATTATAATGTAAGTGTAATTTTACATTGATAACAATGTCACAAAGCTATGAAAAGACTTCTTTCTTAAGTTATTTTTACAAGCCCCAGAAGTTTAACCACTACATGGCATCTAATACTCATTACAAATCTCCCCGTGACTTGCAGGAAGAGAATTTGTGGCTAGTCCCCAGTACATGAAACCTTGCAAAGACACCAGTCCTTTATGCATTCCCAACAGAGAACCATGGCTTTTCTCTGGCTCCTTATGCCTATCTACCAAACATCAGGAATCAGACAGATGAGGTATGTTTTCAAAAGCATGGATAATATGCATCTGTCCACATATCCACAACTGTCAGGATCAAAATATACGCACCACTGATAGGCCCCATCATTAACGTAGTTCAGATGGAAAGAAACAAAAGTCACATTTTATTGATCTCTTCTACATCTCAGTATATAAGGGTTACAAAGTTACTATAAAACAATCCTAAAATCATGAGCTAAAGTAGCACAGAATTTAAAAAGGAGGAATTACAGGAAAAAAGGTAATGGGAATTAGAGCTATGTCTGAATTACTATGGAGGAGAAAGTTCATCTTCTAAACTGCAGAGTTTACTGAAGATCAGTTCCTAAAATGCATACACCATTTTTGCTCCAAGCAACTGAATTCTGACTCAGGCTCTCTCATCTCTACATACATGCAAGACATGATACGCCCTAACACATCACTGAAGCACTGCAGCAGATTAAAAGCGAAAACACCGATATTAACATACACTATAGATTATGCTGTGATCCCTGTCAAATATATGTCTTGTTATTTATCTGTATTAAGACCTATAAACCAATATACTGGGTTAAACTATATACAAGAGCTCATTAAGCATGCTTTAGCAAAAACATTGTCATAATAATACTGAGTTTGCCAGTTACTAGGCTGAACCACTCTCAGAAAAAGCTAACCCACGTTCCCTCTGATACCATTCATCTAACAAAAGCGTAATTTACAAAGTCAAGCAAACAACTGCCTAAGGCAGCTTTCAATCTCATCAAATTGTCATTATGGCTGGGGAGAAAGTGAGCGTATGCAGGTGTATCACTCACCCTGACTGACATTTAGGTTGCATGATGGGCCTTTTAGTGAAGACTGTCTGCATTCTGTCAGTCCAGAAGGGCCCAGTGACAGCATGGAAAATTTAAATCAGGAAATTAGACAGCAGACTCTGTGTTGCTGTTTCCTATAACAGATGAAGATTGGCTTCACCAGCCCAGTGCTGTATCATTCTGGCTTGCCTGCTGGACCACAGGGTTTACCGCAAAAACAGAGAGGGGCAGGAGAAGAACTTAAAATCTGTACACTCTGCCAGAAGGGATCTGAATGGGCCTGTTGTTGATCACCTCTAGTAGTCCGAGCATTGTCTTCAAAACAGTTCTGAGATGAAGCAAGGTGAAACAAGGATCTTTGGTATCTCCTTAATAAAACTAAGCCCCTTACACTTACTGTTTGTTGTCCTCTCTGGTCACCTGTCTCCAGTACTGACTCTTGGCTTGGTCTCCTAAATTTTGATTTCAGCTACAAATCCCTGCCTCTAGCTCCTGATGCCTTGCGGTGTCTGACTGGCTACTAACTCCTAGAGCTCAACTGTGAGCTCCCATTCCACACACCCCTCCATAAACAGGAACATTTACTTGTACTCCAGATTTCAATCTGTTGCTGTCAGCAAACACTTATAAATCTACGGACTTTTTCTAACAGTTTCTATATAAAATTTAAGAGAACGCTATGCTGCAAACTATATAATGTTTTCTAAATCCATTCCTTCATAAATTGAAAAATGTGAGAACACAAGAAAATAAATGAGAATGTACTTTCTATTTTTTTTGAACCACCGGCATTTCTTAAGAGGTACATGTCTTAAAATACAGCAGAGGGCAGTACAGCATTATTTTACAATTCACATTTTTTTTATCACCAAACTTAAATAACTGAATTACACTTTCTCACAGGTCTTCAATTAATGGTCTATTTAAACTCCTGGCATATATAATGTATATACAAAAATATGAACTATTTTATAATTAAAACATTATTTGAATGCCACTGATAAGTTTTTAAGTGGTCACTGAAATGAGAATACATACCCAAAGTTTTATAAGAGCGATGTTTTATAAACAGCTAGCAAAATAATAACTCAGGGCAGGGAGGTGAGAGGGGGGTAGGTGGAAGTTTTTTGTTTGTTATTGGTACCATTACATATATTGGAAAAGCACCAGGTCTTCTTTTCCATATCTTTGACCATCTTCATTGCTTGCTTCAAGATCTTTTCCACATGTTACACATCACTCTTGAAGTGTAGTATCTAACACAGTACTGCAGCTGAGGCTACAGCAGAGCCAACTGAGCATAAATTTACAAATGACACTTTCATTTATGCATGTCCGTACAAGGTGTGCTTTTACCACAGAAGCACAACTCTGCTAATTCACTATCAGCTTGTGACCCACTATGGATCTCCTGCAGAAGACAACTTGAGAATACTGGCAGATGAAAAATTAAGTAAGAGCTAGCAACTGGTGCTCGTAGACCAGAAAGCCAATCTTATCCTAGGCTGCATAAAATGAAGTATGGCATGCAGGTAGAGGGAGATGATTCTCCCCTTCTATTTCACTATCATGAGACCCCACCTTGAGTACTGTATCCAGCTCTGGGGTCCACAGCACAAGAAAGGCACGGACTTGTTAGAGTGGGTCCAGAGGAGAGCTAGAACACCTCTCCTGTGAGGACAGGCTGAGGGAGTTGGGCTTGTGCAGCCTAGAGAAGAGAAGGCTCCAAGGAGACCTTATAGTGGTCTTTCAATAAAGAGATCTTGTAAGAAAGATGGAGAGAGACTTTCTAACATGGCCTGCAGTGACAGGACAAGGGGCAACAGTTTTAAATGGAAAGAGGTTAGATTATATATAAGGAAGAAATTTATTTTATTTTACAATGAAGGCACTGGCACAAGTTGCCAGTGGCTGCCCCCTCCCTGGAAGAGTTCAAGGCCAGGTTGGACAGGGCTTTGAGCAACCTGATCCAGTGAAAGATGTCCCTGCCTCTGGGGGTCAGACTAGATGTTCTTTGAAGATCCCTTCCAACTCAAACCATTCTATGATTCTGTGATTCCCACATCCTTTTCCAAAGAGGTATTTCCTAGCCAGTCATTCCTCATCCTGTATACAAACAGATAACAGCTTCTATTGAACTGCATCCAATATTTGATACTTTCTCCAATCTGTCAAGATTAATTTGAATTCAAATTCTCAAACAGTTACAGCTTCTTCCAGCTTAGTAATATCTAGAGAATGAATAAGGATATTTTCTATTCAACCATCCTAAACATTAATAAAATACCATACAAAACCACAGCTTAACCCCAACAAAAATGTGGTTTATTTTGAGATTGATAAATCCTCCTCAACTAAATATCTACACAAATGCAGAGCTCTGATTCAGATCTAGAATAAATTTTAATTGAACCTCCCATTCCAGTTATGCAATATCTCTTATGTCCTTACAATCTCATCATTTCTTACCATTGTCCCATGTTAGAAACGCTGTTATAAAGTCTGCTGGAATTCAACAAATTAAAATACCCACCTGTTTGGGAGTAAGAGCCAACAGCACTGACTGGAAATAGAACATCTGAGTCATCATTCAGGACCTGCAGAGGAGTCCAACTACATATCTGAGAATTGCATGTGCTTATTTCGTGAGGCCTAGATTTAAAACAAACAAATAAAACAACCTACTTGTAACAGTCAATATTCATGTTCATAATGTTTATATTTCTTTCAGAGATATCACTGGAAAAAAAAAATAATCTTTATTTCAATCTGCCTGACAATTTCTTAGTTCAGACATACATAAACTCATTGAAGATCAGACCACTCCAAAGCAGATGACACAAGCAGTGGTTGCCTCTTTTCCTCAAAGGGATTTCTGTGTCAGAAGAAGAGGGCATTAGTATCTAAAATTATTCTTTTTCTCTCCATTTTGTCTTGTTTAACTATCTACTCTGACGATAACAGGCTTAACTGTTTAAAATATGTGCTTTTACTGTGAAGACAAAGTAGAGTTGATATATTAAGAATAAGGAAACTTCAAATAGGCCAGAATTATAGCCTGGCTATATCATTCAACAATTTCAACAACTGAGAATTTGAAGGAGGTCAAATCTTAAATCTAACAATTTTAGTTTTCAGTGGAACTTAGAAACAAAATACCGTGACCACAGTGACTCAAATGGTTTTAAGCATGGGGAAGGAAAAAAAAAGGGGGGGAGGAAGGAGGGAGGGAAGAAAAGAAAACCTATAGTTCAGTTAGTTACATAAATTTGCCAACATCCATGAAGGAAGGTGGCAGGGGGAGAGGGGGAAGCATGGAAAATTTACCACTGGTTCCTGCAACGTTACTTACTTTTCAGAAGCTTCAGTTTCACCTTCTGTGCCTTTATTTGCTAATGTTTTTCCATATAGCTCATCCTCATCTGCATCTTCATCATCAATGCTTTTCACATCTAGTTTCTGATATTCATATTCTCCATTCATGAATACTGAATTGCTTTTCCACAAATGGTTACTTTCTTTCCCGTTCAAATTTTTTCCGAGAGTGCTTTCAGATGAGGATAATACAAAAACTGAAGATCTGTCTATACTCTCCTCTGAACTTTCTCCTGTAATTAGAGTCTTTGTGGCATCCCCCAAATTTTGCTCATCTTCCTCTTCATCAAATGAGATAATATTTGTCACTCTCTTCTTCTTTTTTCGATCTTTTTTGTATTTCAAATCTAGTAGCAACATAAAGGTTTACATAGTTTAGAAAAGAGAATCAAAGTAATACACCTGTTTATCTCTTAAAAGAATTCATGTACTAAATGAGTTTAGTAAAGAAAAAAACCTCTTAGATCTACAAGACATTTCATTATCTTTCCATACACGAGCTGCTAAATTGTTACCATTTTTATTTTATATGTCTTACATAATTCAGATTTTAGAAGATATATTGGAGGTGCGTTCATAACAGTATTCAAGTGGAACTGGGAAAAAAAGTTCAACAAGTTTATAAAATTAAATGTAAAATAAAAAGTTAGCCTTCCTGTCACTTTCTTCCATGGAATATGGCTAGTGTATTTTGCAGAGTATATCTACAGAACAGAGGAAACATAAACACTGCTGGGGAGAAAAAAATAAAAAGAACAAACTCACAACACAAGCAAAATCCACAACTTGCAATCAAATAAAGTTAGTTTTGTCTATATTCTGGAGATTAAGCAATCAGTTTTCAGAAAAGTAAATTAAACTTGATCCATCCCTCAGCTAATTAGCTCTTGATCTAGAAATACATTGAAATCTTCTCTGATTATATCACATCTATGCTGTGATAGCACTTATTTTTAATTTATTACCTATTCACACTGATTGCAATGTGCACATGAGGCTAAATGATCTTGCAAAGTTGAAGCACTCTAAGAAATATCAGAAATTTACTCAAGACAACTCACACTGGGACTATACTTTTTTATTTAATTCAAGTCCAGCTGTTCTATATCCACAAAACACATTAACATACTCTTAAGAGTAAAAGGATGTTAAAAAACCATTCTGGATGCAAACAGAATTCCAGCAAAGAACAGAGACTTTAATGAAAACTTCTGACTTGCTCTAACATATAATGGTATTTGAACAAACCCGATTTTTTTAAAGTGACATTTTTTTGTAAGTTGTACATTACATGTACTGTATACATATGTACTATACACATAACATGCATTATGTTTTAGTTATGGTCAGCATACGGTCAATTATTCTGTAACTTCATCTTGCAAGACTATTCTATGCTAACAAAGTTATCCCAAGTCAAGTATCACCTGACATTTTAATCTCATTTCAAGTGCTAACCAACAAAAACTTAACAAGTTTGTTTTGAAAACCATGTTTTGAGATAAAGTCTATATTAAATGCCAATAGATTTTATCTCAACTTCAATTCCTACTAGACAGCATTCACATGTGGGTTTTTCTTCTTTTTCTAAAAACCAAAACAATTTAAAACCTAAACTCAAACCTTGTTTCTTAATTGAAAAACACATAAATTCCAGAATCTTCCTGCAGTTTTGTAGCTTTACAAAACAAAACATCCTTGCGGCTCAACTTCTGTAAATCACAATGCTGAAATATTCCTTTGCTATTTTTGGAACTGAAAATGTAAAATGAGTATCACATTTTGCTTGATTAATTTCAAATTATAAGAGATTAAGACTTTGGGTCTTATTTAGTAACATCCTGCAAAATGGGTGCAACACTAACACATTTAAAGGTACAAAGAGTGTATGAGTAAATTTTCATTTGTACTAATTACCTACTTCATATAGGAATTGCTGCTTGAAGATTACAAGCAAAGATTTTTAGCTGATATATATCAACAGATATTTGGCAGTGTATTTCTGACTGATAAAGTACCAAAAGAAAACATATTAAAAATGAAAAATCATTACATCAGAAACTGCAAGGCATAATCTTATGCATAAGAAATTCAAATTCAGGTCACAAGCAAAGCACTTTACCAGTAAGACAGTTTAGCTTCTCTCTCACAGTGATACAAGAAAGCTAAAATACACTTTTATCATCCAGTATTCACACCAGCATTGCCAAAAATTTTCATACCTTTTATTTCACACTTAACTAGTTTGTATGTGTAATGCACTTACTTTTAAGGTTTTTGTTCCATCATAGTGCATTAAATTTAATTCAGAAAGTTATTTAAACGCACCTGAATATTTTATGTTTCTGAATGACACTAACGTTACAAAAATGCTTACCAGCATTTACATTCTTTGAGAGCACAGGAAGTGGGTCAGTATCTTGATCAGGTTTTATTAGAATCGAGACACCAGATGATGCAGTTATCTCTCTAAGAAGGCTGCTAACACCCTGAGTGGATTCTTTCAATAATGAGGTTACATTGTGGGTCGATTCCTTTAACAAATCAGACACGGTGGGTGTGCATTTGCTCTGTCCATTTAAATCCTTATTATCAATGTTGATTGCAAAAAGAATGGAGTTCAGACCTTCAGATAAAAGAAAGGAAAAAAAAGACCAAAACCCCACTATATACACTTCATACAGAAATTACAAAGATAGTACCTAAGCATTAACAAAGCTATGACATGTAAAACATTATTCCCCCAAAATTTCCCACAGTTTTCCATGCATGAATTCTTATTCTTTCATGTACCACTCATTCTTTTTTAGATGATATTCAAGCTGATGCAATCAGTTCTGAATTTATCTTGATGGCTGTTCAGCTGCACGTTAAGTAAGCAGTAAGTACTGGGAACTCATTTATTTATAACCTTTCATTTAAGCCCATTTCACTGCAGCTTTAGTATTTGTTGGTTCCTATATTGTATTAAGAAAAACTCTTGTGAACCCTATCTTGCAGAATGAATCATGTGACCATATATCTGAGAAAAGGGGTATAAAAGATAATAATATATCACTGCTGTGGTCAAACTCTAGAAGTAAATTATGTGTTATCATTCCTTACTCTTACTGTCCTTCCATGTATTTACCTATAATTTGGGTCTTACTACATTAGTCTATCATTGCTCTTTTCTAGTCAGGAATAACCCATTTTGTTTTCTCTAAATTGCATTAGTTTTCAAAAAAAAAGTTAGTCTTAACTGAGAGAAGAGTTAGAAAATTTATGTGAAAGACTTTTGAACTGTAGGAAGGTGTGGAACTGTAGGATGCTTTTTAACAGTTCACCAATTCATCGCATAAATTGGCATACCTGGACTATTCACCCTGAATGTGTATCTGACACACATTCTCCACACAAGCAAAGACTGTTAGAGAAGCTCCTCACAACCAGAAACGGATATAACATCCCAAAATTAAACAGTTTTTCAACAGTAGCATTTAAGTGAAAGTCTTACCAGCGGCCATCGTAGGGATCATACTAGAACGTTCTTCATCCATCATAAAAGACCCGTCTTCATAGAAGACACTGTAATATGAAAGGGGGGGTGGGGGGGGAAGGAAAACAAAAAAAAGAACATGCAGTCCGGTGTTAACATATATGCCATTTCTAAAAGATATGAAAACTCTGAAAAATATGTGCATGAGAGTAATTAATGACAAAGCAATTCAAGGATTTTCAGATTTTTTTTTTCCTTTGTTGTTTCATTTATCTTTATTTGACTTCGTATAAAAATCTATCTTGCAAGAAAGCTACAGAGGACTGGAACACACTAAATACAAAAAGGAGGTACTAACAAGCTCAGTTCTAGCAATAATCTTTTCTAGTATATCCATTAATTGATGCAAATAAAAAGAATGCCTTTCTGCTAAATCCACCAGACTCTGTAACAAGAAAATTCACAAACTGGTATAAAACCACTTCCAAGTGATCTGCAGTACTAGCTACCTACTTCTTGGCTGCTGGAGCAATTCAATTACAGGATGAGCATCTCCAAAAGGCAATGGGTAATTACCACTGATGAACTGATAAGACCAAGGCTGCAATTGTGTACTACTTTAATGGAATGCAAGTGGCACCTCAAAGCATGCTCTTGAGGTCTCAGTGAGGAAACTGTTGCAAGAATAGGGAAGGGAGTTAGGAAAGAGAATAGAAATGAAGATGAGGATAAGCAGCATATATTCTCACATGCTAGAATGAAGCCACTTTCAGGTCACATGTTGATATAGGCACAAACCTTAATGGCTGCCAAAATTTAAAAAATTAACGAAATAAAATTAAGAGGTTAAGTGGCTTCACTAGCACAGCAATTAATGTAATATATTATTACAGCTATGTTTTTTGGTTTGTTGGTTGTTTTTTTTAGTCTCAGTTCTTCGTTTGTCAGTACACTTCCTGCATTACAAAGACATCAAATACAGTACCTGAGTCGATTCTTATCTGCAAGCAGCATATGAACATATCTTTCCAGAGAATGTTCATTTAATGCACAGCGCAACCAAGCCCGGCCTCTACCAATATCTGTAGTAATGGTCTTCAGAGAATAAAAGCGCTGCAGTTCATGTTTATTCAAAACTTCTTTCACATAGTACCAAAACACTGGCTCTGGAATAAAGAAAAAAAAAAAAAAAAACAAAAAAAAAAAACACCAAAAAAATGGTAAGCTACTATCTGAATGCATTTACATGCAACTTCATAAAACAAGCAGGTAATGGTACATAACTTTGAACAAAGGTCAATCATTTACCATCTTCGTATGACTCCCCAGTTAAATAGGTTATTAATTCTACAGAAGTTGGACTATTTAAGCACTTACAATTTTTCACTTCATTGAAAAAGCCAAACACACATATTAAAGGATTCTATCTTATATTTTTAAATAGAATTCACACTTTAAAGCACAATTAAGCTAGTATTTCATCCACAGAACAGGTTCACGTATTCAGCTGTGAATATATTACGCAAAGGAAAAAAATTCTTTAAAATTCTGTCTTACTGCTGATTGTGAAATGTTAGAAACTAGGTCCAAATGAATGGGTAGCTCCAGAATTTGCAGACATGCAAGACAAATTCATGTTACTTGAAAAAACAAGTGTTATATTTAAAAGACAACAAAGCCCCTTTCAACTAAAATACTTTCCTTTCCCTGTCCCCAAATATTGATAAAAAGGTTTTTTACAGTTACCTCAAATTTCTCAATTGGAGGCAACAAAAATCTACATCAGCAATGGTAAACGTACAATAAAACACCTAGTATTTTACATATTCCTGCTTCTTAACTGAGTAAGAACATATTTTAAGGACATATCTTTTAAAATTCACCTCTTACCATTTTCTCAGGTTGAAAAGAACAACCAAACATCAGTATTTCATCTGTAAGACTTGAATCATTACTGTATGGTATAGTTTGGCAATCATTAGTCATTAATATTGCATCAAATACATACTGCTTGAAAGTATCTTAAAATATAACATTAACGTTCATGTGGTTTTGTTATAAATAGAATTGCTTTAATAACTACAACAGTTTGAAACCTGTTACCCTATACAGTTAGCAACATGTTAAGAGACTGAATTTAAGGAAAATAGGATATTTTTTAAAGAAAAAAAAAAATCTGAGAAACTCAGGCATTACAAAAAAATTAAAAACACATCAATTTCAAGCGAGACATGCAGGTACTCCTCCTGACAGTTTAATGAATGTCTTTGCTCAACATTTTTTTTAAGTTAACAAAAAAGGGAAAATAATTCTACTGTACAAGTGAATGGTGCACTACCACCTCAAATATATTGTTCATTTTTGATCACCATCTCAATGTAAGCAGATGCTTAAAGATGGGTAAAAAATTTCCTCAAAGACACAGAAAAAAATTCACATGAGAGAGAAATCAGATTGAGCCTGCCACTCCTGCTTATCACTTTTCTAAATCTTTTTTAATGTAGTAAGAATTTTAAGTAAATTCCATCCATAATGCTTCTCTTTCTCTCTGCTAAATAAAGAGCATGCAGTCTGATTCTGAATAGGTTTTCACTACAGCTTATGACTTCCTTTGGTGAAATATGCTCATTTGAGGGTATGAGGTTTTTTATTAATCTCTGCTGAAAGCCAAATACAGTATTAGATTAGCAAAGTTTATAACACAATTTTAGAAACCGAAACATAACAAGCAGGTTAGATTCATTAATTAAAAGTTCTGCCAAATAGATCTGACAGCTTTTGTCTTCTATGCAAGAATAACCCAGAGCTCTTCTAAATTACACAAATATGCAAAACACATAAAACCACTGAATTTACAATGTAGGATGCAAAACTAAAGGCATAATTTGGTAAACTAGGACTTCACAGGCACATTAACATGCAAACAATAAGGAGACGCACTGAACATATAAGAGCATTCAAATATCATATGTCCCACTCCTTTGGCTTCAACTTACTTGATTTGCATTTCAAAAATAAAACGCATGTGTAAGTAGAAAAAAGCATTTCTTAAAATGCCAGATTTGTATCAAGATGACAGTGATTTAATGACTTCATTGTTTCTTATGACCAATAAAATCCATTTTTGTCTTGCTAAAGCTCAAAACCATACTAAAGTAGGAAGTGAAAATATTACAGGAATAGAGAAAATAAGCAGATTTCCCCTTGTGCTGAGAGTAAAACTCAGTGCTTCTTGGCATTCTGACTATTTACAGATATCAAGGATTTTTAAAAGTTTCAAAATTTGGGTTATCATCAGTTGTCAATCAAAATCTATCCAGTGGAAATAAAGAGCATTCCAACTCTAAGTCCCTCCATGACATGCTTTATAAAAACAGTAATGTAAGGGGCATTTTCAAATTACTTCATTCTCTTCTTTGAGAATAGCATTAAATGAAAATCCAAGTCCTAACTGTCGATATGATTTTTCATACTGTATATATATACATAGCTACAGTATTCTCACATGATCTTAATTGTAGTTAAATAAAGAGACCCTCATATTGTTACAATCTAAAGACAGAATACAGTTTTATTGTTTGCTGGTTTTGCTTAGATTGCTCAACTGCATATGCCTGTAATTACCATACCATTGACACCAAATCACACTGATCTTAAGAATTTGTTTACTTGAATTTAAAAAGTTAAAATATTTTAAATAGGATTTTTAAGTCACAGTTCCAAAGAACTACTACTGGAGTTTTAAAATGTTCATTTTCATTTAAGAAAAACAAAGTAAAACACTGAAGCTCTTAAATGCAAAATGATGCTACATTGCTTACAGCCATTTGAAAGTACAGTTGGTCATGAAGTATCTGTAAATTTCAAATAAAAACCACTGCTGAACAGATTTATTTTTCAGTTGTCAAAGCCTGAATGTATAGCCTAAACAGGAGTTTTCCACTATGTTAAAGAAAAAGATGACACTGGTGATTATGTTAGACAGAGTGGAATTTAAATCATGCCAGACACATTTGCCTGAAAGTAATAAAAATACAGATGTGCTTTGCAACTGCTTTCAGAAAAAAAGCACCCCAACACAGCAATTCGCAAAGATAAATGCAGAGGAACCAAATGATTTCCAAAACAAAACAAAAAAAAAAAAAAAAAAATCTTCTCTTGTCACTATGTTTTTGCTCTTTAACTTCCATATATTGCTTAACCTTCTTAAGGAGTAAAAATTCTTCCTTCTCCAATTCCCCAACCACATATAACTTTCCCAACTTCTTCTCCTCTTTCTCCACATTATCTCACTGACAAGCCCCCAAATCATACACACATATGCACTAACATATAACGGAATTGTTACTAAGTTCTCAAGTACCAAAAATATACCTTTGTACATCTGGCCACTAAAAGACGGGACCAAAACTTTCATACACCTTTGATGGTACTAGCAGACAAGAGAGAAATCGTAAGAACTAGAGAATTATACATAATGTCTTCAAATTCAGACATGCTATTTGCATAAATCAGAGAGGGTGTAACGGGGAGAACCTTCTCTGCACTGAAGCATAGGACTCTCAATTGCAAGCTGGAGGGATAAAAAGCAGATAACGGAATCACTACTCGTTAAAGAAATGGAAACTACCCAGACGCTGAAAGAGACCATTGATTATCAAATCCCCAATTATAAACACACACGTGGGAGGAAAAAAAGTATATAAAAGAGCAGAAAAATCTGTAAAGACTCTGTAAACAGCTGAATTTTTCTTATTTGTTCATTTAAAGCCCACAAAGTGTTGAGTCTTGCACATTACTAAGTAAAAGTGGTGAACATAGGAAACTCACTAACTTCCGTAAAAGCACAGCTATTTTAGCTCCACTAAAAAGCAAAGTCTGGAGGCTCTAACCCATTAGCAGGAATGTCAGCACACAAGACCCAATATTTCACCCTATCATCCACAGGAAACAAGTCCATTGTTACAGCAATTGAAAACACCATTATATCAAACTACACATTTTGTGTTAATGTGATCTACATTATTTGCAGTTGTCTGGTAACTGAAAGTTATGGCTGGAGATCAAAATGTATTACCAATTCTAGTACCACTGAACATATTTAAGAAAAAAAAAAAAAAAAAACAAACTACCACACCAAAACCCCACTATGTGTTATATGTTACACCTGACAATTTCAAAAACCAAAACACAAAAAACTTCTTTTAATGTGGAGAAAGTAATAATTCTGTTTGAGAAAAGAAGATACTGTATGTCAAACTACACAACAAAACTGATGAATGCCTTCATATACTTTTGACTAAAAAAACAAGGGAAACTTTAAGGTGAAGAGAAGACAATAAAAAGAAAGGAATCTTACCTTTAAATGTGGAGAAAGTACTAAAAACAACCCAACCAATGCAAGTAATGTATGCTCCATTTTTAAAATTACATCAATACCTAGAAGTTAAACATATCTGATGCTATAGAATACAGCAAAGAACAGAGTAAGACAAGGCTAAGAATGAAAATGTTGTAGTAAAAACTTAACTGCACAATTTCACAATGTTTATCCCTACCAGAATTCAAAACAAATGTGTCAATGATACCATTCATGGTGGAACTGTAGGAAGTGCAGATTTCAAAATACCAAAATTTCTACAGAAACTTAGTATGAAAGTTAAACTATATTAAGAAACCAATAACCATTTGCACTGTTTAATGAGAGTCCAAGTATTAAGCATGATGCCAACAGTCTGCAGTTTGGTGCAATGCTTAAAGCTTCCATCAGAAATTATATCGCTTGCTGTTTAAAATAGAATAGTTAGAATTAACAACCTACCTGTTTCAGTTTTACTGGAGAAACCTGCTGCCTGTTTGATCGCTGCTGCTGTTAATGCTAATCCTCGGCTCCTCCTCAGACCATGCTGTAACACAGCTTCAAACTGAGCACACAAACAAGTGACTCTGCAACAGAATTTTTAAAGAAATCATGTGAAAAGGACAATCAACTATGTTCCTATACATCAGGTTTATTCCAAATCTCTGAATAGAGAATGTAATTGTGAACCATTATTTTATATGTAGTCAAAGACCCCTTGTATGCACTAATCTCATTATTTGCCAACAATATAATCTACTTATACCCACAGTCTCATGATGACTATTCAAAACTGGGGCACAAATTACACTCAGAAGAACTGGCAATCAATTTGACAAATCATCTTCACCTGCTGTGGTGGTTGTTAGTCATGTTATTTCAGCTTCAGATTACCTACCTTTCACGTAACACAATTACATTTTCATAAATATACTTTGTACTACACATGTAATGAATGATTTTCTAACAATATGCTATAAATTCCTATACAACTAATAGACAATTTTGTTAATTTGCATTAGTACACTATAATTTAAGCCTAGGAAAACAATTAAACATACATTTTAATGTCCTTCAGAAATCCTAGTCATAGGAAAATAAGAAAGATTTTTCTGAAGATGGTGAATTTTCAGGGTTTGACATTGTTCTCAAAAATACTATTTATAAATTTCCTGATTTTTTTTGAAGGTAACAGTTAATAAATCAGTTTTCACACAGGTAGAAACACTGTAAAACCAGCAAAGTTTTAAAATTCAGCCTGGCAAAGAAAGGAATTTATTCTAACCTACAAGGAATAGTAAGGCTTAAAGTGTAACAGATAAAAATGCAATCTGTTTTAAATCTTACTTTCTCTAGGTTTTATTTTTGCTATTAAATAATACTTAAAACTTAAGCTTTGAGAAAGCTGTCACCTGGCTGCCAAAGCTGATTATTAAAAGGAATGACAGATACTTCAAGCAAATATATAAAAACAGTTGACAAAGTGGCTCAGGGGTCTGCACCAGCATTCCAGAAGTACAGAGTTATACTCAGGGTCACATAAAAAAGCACAAGATCTCAGGATAACCACAGTCAGCAAAAGAGGTATATTTACCATAATTGCCCTGGACAGAAGAGCTTTTAACACATAATGCTTTCCAATACATCTACATTAGGAAAACTTCACTTTGTCAGGTAACTATACTAATAAAGCAGAACAGAACCCAAGCAATACTCAATATCACTGCGGAGCAGATGTGATGAATTTTTGTCAAAAAGACTGTTCCTTTTAGAGACGGAAATTCCAGCAGATACATGACCCCTCCCAAGAAAACAACAACAAAAAAAACTACATGATTTTTCAATTCAGAAAAAGTAGAACAGAAACTAGTTCTTTGAAAGAACTTGTATTATTAAAAATTCATCTGCACTGAGAATCAAAACAAGAAAACTGTGCAACATTTTACAGGAAAATTTTGCCACCAGGAAAACAAAATTTTTTAAACATTAGGTATTCTACAATGCTCTATGTACATAGTGTATTTACTAGAAAGCATTACAAGGGTATGTTAAATAAGCAAATACATAATAGAACTCTCAAAAATTATAATCTCAAAGATAAAAAAAAAAAAAACACTAGGAGAACAAAACTAGGAGAATCTTGGATTTTGATCTAAATTCTCAGACTATCCCCATTTTTAAAATTATCTCACAATATTTAGCACAGTAACAACCTTGAACACCATGGATTTTAGGAAAAAAGAATCCATTAATGTGATTTCTACTTACTTTTTAATCCTTAAACTGCCTAGCTGTAATCATTCCTTATAATCGTTCATATAATTATTCAGCACGTCTACTGAATTCTAAGGAAAAATTTTAAGTAAAATTTGGCCAGCATTATACCTTTGGAATCCTAACCCTCCCTGTTTACAAGAAGACAAATACTAAAGGTCATAATTCAAATCACTAAACAACTGCAACAAAGAAGTTGTTCAAGCAAACTGAGTAACAAAGCTCAATGTTTAGATCCAGAGAATTTGCTCTAAGTAGGAGGTACTTCCTTCTAGCCAAGATTACACAATCTACTACAAAGGCAAACATAATCAATATGTTGTTTCACATACACTAAAGATTAAATGATTATCTCCAGTTGATGCTTCTGTGCCAACAGCTATAGTTGCACAGACAGTCCAACTGCTAGATATTTCAGCCTCACCATCCCTTTATCCCACCTGCAACTTCTTGCTTCCTCCCTCGCACCAGCTTCTGTCCAACAAACCCCGTGCTGAAGAGACCCCACACTAAGCTGTCTCCCCCATGCTAGCTGAATGAACCACTATTTCTGTAAGCCTGTTTCCCCAAAACAATGTAAGCTAAAACAGCCAAGGGCAGGACAGGATAACAGTAGTAGCCAAAAGCTGCCATGCGGTAGCATTAGCCTGGAGTTTCACATACAGGTAATGCACAGGAGCTACATTACAAGCTGGTCCTGAAAGGACACGGGTTTGCCCTCTCATCCCTTCATGTTTCTTCCTCCTCTTCTGCACTTCCCATGGCTCCTAGCTGCATGATCTCCCCCTCCTTGCAGCAAATCTAGCATTCACCAGATGTTTCACTGATTTAACTCGCTAAAACGGCAGACAGTTATCCTTTTTGCATTATTTCTTATTTTATTAAACTAATTCAGAGGGGACTGGATGATCACCAGGCATTTCTTAAAAGGTGCTTCAAGAGAGTAGTACTGAAGTCAGGGACCTTGAGGAGAAACATGAACACTCCTCATCCCTTCAGTAGCAATGAAATGTTACGTTGGTTTTCCAGAAGTCATGAAACCACACCCTTAGACATGTTCTTAAAGACTGAAATGGGAGAACTCTGGAGAGAATTTTATGCATCATTTATAAATGGTCAACAGATAATTAACTTCTTCCCAAAAGGCAGAGTTGAACTTCAAGGACGTAAGAAAAAGGACTCCAAAAAACTGCATTTAATCCTGGTGTTTTATTTATCTGAGATTTTTCAGTAGTACAGATTCTGAGAAAGACTCGATAGGATGCAAAAAACACTGCAATTTCTGTCTGCCAGTAACCTTCTTAAAAGCCTTAGAAACCAATATGCCGTATATGACAACAAATGCAACTAATAGGAATTAAATTACCTTTTCTTTTACTTACATTAATAAAAAGGAACAACTCCTCATACAGAGAAAAAAAAAAAAAACAAAAAAAAAAACAAGTCTAAAACATGTCAGGGATAAGAAAAAATAAGAATGAACATTTTCTTAATGACTATGTGCTAAACACACTTCACTTGACACTTTGGTGTCAAGCTTCATAAAACACAGGTGTGTTGGTAATAAATATGCATTCATTTTCAAGAGGTTTTAGGAAAGATAAATTCTCCTAATCTCATGCTCAGACCTCAGAATTCAATGTTTTGTCACAAACTCTGCAGTCACTTAAACATTTGTAACTTCATACAGAAGAACACTGTTAAATTGTCTAATTTGTAACAAGATGAAAAATTCAGAGTCCCATGTCAGTGTTTGTGTAAACAAAAGGAACTGGGGGCTTTTGAGCATGTAAAGTATTTTGTGCCCTATGTTTTATGTCATTATGATGCATAATGTAAGCATGTTAAAAGTTTATTCGACTATCTTACCTGCTATCAGAGTCTGAAGCAATTTCTTTTCTTCCCCCAAACCGTATTTGACACTGTGATAAACAGATTTTAAGAAATTTTTGTTATGCTTACAAACACAATATTCTGAAATATTTCCATCTAAGAAGCAAAGTCATAACAAAAAAGGAAGCAGTACAAAATAAAGCACTGCAAATACAGCCTGCAACCAAAAAGTGCTTTACAGCATCAGGTACCACTCACTAATGGGCTATTCTTGCAGTTCAAACATGTACTTGCTAACCACACCTGCAGGTCCTTCACTAAATTTAAAATTGAGTAAAAATTCCTACTTTTGAGTTTTAAATGTACACCCACAAAAACAAACACTACTTTTATTCAGCTCAGTGCTACAATTACAGAAGATTTGTTCTTTACAAAACACATCATTGGCTTGCTTCCAAGACATTCTTTTGCCTCCCAAGCTTTCCTAAATTGAATCCAATCTATGAAATTCTACTTGCTGAACTTCATGTTGATGGAAGATATGTATATACATAAAGAAATCCCATTTTTACCTGTATCTTAACTATTCAGTAAAATTGTAGTGTAAAGAAAAAAAAGCTGCTACTGTAAAATGTTAACCAATTTAGCCTTTGCAGTATACTACAATTTAGTTCAGCCATATAAGTACTACATATATATATAGATAATATATATTCTATATTATTAGACATATTTATAATATATACGCTACAAATATAATCTGTCAAGACCTTTAAACAAATACTGCATAATTTTTATTTGCTAGCAGACACAAACACTCAGTAGTACTCTGTGAAAGACAAGATTTCTTCATTGCCCAATAAAGAGGGGAAAAAAAGTCAAATACTGCTAGTACTGACAACTCACAGTCAGTATACTATAGAAATATGTATTAGATTTCTCACCTGTTTAACTGCATCCAGTAGCCTTTCTAGGAGAAACTGTCTTTTAGTGTCATTGCTCTGTGAACCTGAAATTCAACAAAATCATAATTTTAAAATGAAGAGGTTTTTAAGAAAAATATATTTGGGCCAACACAAGGGCCCTGCAAACTTTCTTCCCTTGCCAATTATTCCATTAAATTTATTAATGCATTTTCTTTAAGTAAAATGATGCAGTATAAGACTGTGTTTTGAGGTTTCAACTAGCCTTTCTCTAATATGCAGGAATGCTGTTTGAAATGTCATCTAGAGCCTTGTTTTAGTAAGATTTTGGTTTCATGACATAAGGTATATTGCAGCAATAGCAAATATAGTATAATTGTGCAAAACCAGCACAGCTTGCCCCTAACCTCATAGCACAACCACCTGTGGGGCCACATTGCAAGCCTGGAACTGACCTAGCTTAAGATTTTCATTATTTTTTAATTTATTTTTTTTCAGTCAGTTGGTATAGGTGTATGATGGAGCTCACACTGTAATCCCATAAATGTTCGTACTGGGACAACTACCTGGGTAGTATATCATCATAGCACAAGAAATAATGGAAAATGAGAAAGAGACAGCAGGAATATCTTCTTATTGTTCAACAACCTAATTGCAGAAAGAGTTTTAAGTCAGGTGAACAGAGAGCAATTGCCACAATAAATCCCTTAAAATGTAATTGCCAGCACAGTTTTTCCTGATTAACACATATAAAATCTAGTTTGTTACTATACAAGCAACTATGCCAATCTTTAACTTCTCAATCATTTCAACAAAAAAATAGCATACTTTGCTTGTCAGTATATGCTTTATAAACTCCCATAAATATGTGTAAAATGTACTGTTTAATTAACCGGCATCACCTCTATAATTCCTTTATTCTGATCTTAAATTCAAAATATCCTTCAAAAACCTCTGTGAACTCTCTGAAATTGAACTAATTTTATTCTTCTTTTCCTCTCAAAGAACATACAACTAATATATGCATGGACTGAAAGCCAATCAACACTCTGTAAGAGCTAGTTCTTCCAGATGCTTAAAATCAAACACCATACAATAAGCCCTCTAGTAAATAGAGATGACATCAAAGATATCTCTTCCTCTTGCTGTCCAACACTGCAAAGTCCCAATCACAGAATTTCCTATCTTCATAATCACATTCAAAGTATTTTGCTCCTAAATCATCAGGAGGAAACTGAAATTATTCTGCCTTTGTTTCATCTTAAATATGGGATTAGGAGAAGAAAAAGCCCCCAGCAAATCTGTAATATACAGTGCCAGAATAAAGAAAACAATAGGAAAAACATGCAAATGTAGCTGCTAGCTAACATAGCTTCACAATGCTTATTTAGCTCATTACAGTGGATTTTCAAAATTTATACTTTAAGTCTGACTCAAACTGTGCAGACATGTGATGTATGAGTTTTGGTTCTGTTAGACAAATACTCTGATGTGTGCAAACTCAGATGAAGATGCAAACAATGTTCAATGCTAGTAAAGGACTCTAGAAACAAACCCCATACTAAATAGGTTTTAACTTCCAAACAACTATCCCATTTATGCCACTGTGAAGGTTAAATTCACATAAACCCTACTACTCCACTTTCTGCGCTCCTTCAGAGATGACCATTTTATTAAACTATATTCAGTGTTCTTAGCATGCATGACCAAAATTGGAGACACATATACCTATGCAACTAAATGCCTTGTAATAAATCACGTAACTATAAAATAAGGAAAACAATTACATTCCAACTTTGAGTACAACCCCCCACGCACAGTAACAATGAATATATACAAACCTGCAGATTTTCCCTACTGTTTCAAAACTCATTACTTCTACAGTCTTACACTATCCACATACCTGCAAGAACAGGCATAATGCAACATTTCCCTTTATAGTAATAGTTTGAAACTAATTCAGAACAAATGCATGGAAATTAATAGTTTTATGACCTGAAAAACATCTATCAAATGAAAATACTGTGTATGTGGGTTCTTGTCTTCCAAGTGCAATACATATTAGTTTTTAAATTCACACCTCTTTGGCATCTTTGTATCTATTTGGTAACACAGAAATAGTTTGCAACTAGATATCAGACTGTGAACAATAGAAAAAAATATGCATAAATACAGAAAACCTGCAGATGATCACTATGCTAATTGATGTTCCAAAAGACTAAAGCATGTGATACCAGACAGCCTCAAATTTACACAGTGAGTGCACTGTAATGCACATTCTGTCTTTATTTTACTTGCACATTTGTACTAATAACAATTATGACTACACATGATTACAACCAATAATTTCCACAAGAAATTCAGATCATCTTCACCATTAACAGGGCTATAAGGCCACATAATGTCTATACTGAGGACTGGCCAAGGTTTCGGCTCAATGCGTGTCTTCAGAATTCTTCCACTGCTGTACTTAACATAGAAATTCTGCAGGTAGAAGAAAAAGAATATTCACAAAGTCTAACAATTTTTTAAATTGAAAGATTAAATTGGGTGTTTTTACAGCAGAAGACATATTTTTCATAGAAAAATATGCCTAGAAAACGTAGTAGTATTTAGCAATGTTTTTATGTAGATGGAAAGTAAATACAAATCTCTACCAAGTCTCTTTAAAGATTTTGCTCTTCTACAGTCTTCATTTTCTAAACTTTTTTTTTAAAAAGAGCATATTTTCAGACAAGAGCACCAATTAATCATGATCATCTCTAGTTGATTAAAGACTAACAGTGTATCACAAACTGACCAAAATACCCTTCCTACTGATTCAGAATAGTCAGAAAAATGGTAAAAACTGCAGTAACACATACAAGTACAAAACATGGAATGCAATAGAACAAAACATTAGATTAAAACATAGAATGCATAAACAGCATTACTCAGAAAAAAGGCTATATTTAGACTATTGCAATAAAAAAGGAAGTTCATACATGAGTCTAAAAATAATTGCGAAAACAAGTACAAGCTTGCAGAAACTAAGAAACTTAAAGAGACTCCTCTCATCGACATCTACTCAGTCAAAAAGGCTTAAAAATAGGCCCAGGTACTGCACCTGCCTCTGTGACCCTTGCCATTTTTTGTTGTTCGCAGTCAGCTTTCCTATTTTTAAAACAAACTTCTCTCCATACCCTGCCAGAAATACACACACCTACAGCAGAAGAAAACTCACTATCCAAGTAAAGGAAAACAGGATTTTGATCCACTTCTTTATAGGTACAGCTCTCTTCAGCACCACATGTAGTGTATAGGCTAAAAAAAAAAAAAGTCTGATTGCTCTTACATATATCTTGAAATTTTGCACCTAAAATTTCAGACTGCAAAGCCTCTTGCTTGCTATAGTACAGCTTCTGAGGGCACAAGTTTACAATAAAGCAAACACAGACCTAACTTAACTACTACCTTGTACTACATTGTTATGATTCTACTGCCTCATCCTGAGTCGCATTTTTATATCTTTTTTGAAACTGTCACTAACAAGTGACAACACCCCTCATTCTTAACAAGTACATAAATGCGGTATCCTTGCATTACTTCCCTTTAAAGTTTAGCCTATGCAACACTGTCCAATTAAATATGAGTATGTAATTAGTAATAGCATTAGTAATATTAAAGGAATGCTCAAATCAACAGCAAGCTACCTTCACATCCACTAGAAATATATTGTAGTTAAAAAAAATATATAATAAAAATAATTATAGCCAGTGGGGAAATAGGTTCTTCTGCCTATATTTTAGGAACAACCCTTTTACTTTCAAGGGCTAAAACTGGGCAGGGAAATAAGTGTAGATGGTACTTTCACAAACATGAAAAAAAGATGGTTAACTTTGATTATGTTAACATTAGCTAACTCCTTTATCTGAAACAAGCACGATAATGCTACATTTCTCTGTCCTGATCTGTTCTACTTACATTATTCTGGAAAAATACTGTACAGTATTGTACAACAGTAATGTCTGACAAAGTGCAGAAGTAGTGTTCTTGCTGTTATCTTGCTGTCTAATCGAAATTGTTGAAGTCATATAGGTCTTGGCACGGGCTATACATGGGTAGGTTAGCCATGCAACTGAACTACTAGCCTTACTGTCACCTTAGGCATTATTCTATTTTAAGCAATTAAATGTTTTCTCTCCTCATAAACTTGTATCTCTTGTTAAAAAAAAAAAAAAAAAAAAAAAAAAAAGGTATTAAAAATAGCTACATGATGAGGCTTTATGTCACAAGAGGCTCTACATTGCCTTTTGAGTCACAGAATTCAGAGCTCCCAAAGATGAGCGTCCTAGGAAGATTTAGGCTCCGATCTGCCCAAGGCCAGTCCCAGCCTGAATTCATCATTGAATGGCTGAGGTTTTCCATATGAAAATGCTGACTCTTAAAAACTTCAGAATTAGTATATATCATTTCAAGATCTGAAACATTTGAGAAAATTTTTTTTTCCATGGTTTTAAAGATTTGACTGTTAGTTGCATTTTTCACAATAATCTTTTTTTTAACCCTCATCTCTTCTTCCATAAAAAACTTCAGTTTTCTTCTTATCACAAAGATGAGAACAAAAGAGAGAAAAATACAACTGAACTGTTTTCATTTCTGGTTTCGTTTTGAGAAATAACTGCTGTCCATAAAAGATGTAGCATTTAATTACTCCAGTTAACTCTTCAAATATTTTTTCTATCTTTGGCAACAGATCTCACCGTGTATTAAATCAGGGTAGGAGAAAAATGTGTGATCTAATTCTCAGGTACAGAGTGTTGTCTGCAACTTCCATTACTGAAGTTATATAAACAGACACATGAAAGCATTTACTAAAGCACCTCCCTTCCTAAAAAAAACCCAAACAAACAACTGCCAACGAGTTTTAAGACATATTAACTCCTTTATATTTACAAGAAAAATCTACTGAAATTTTTTCCTCCATCTTAAATAACTCCCCATACTGGCCTGTTCAAGTGGCCATGCTTCCTCCAGTCCTTAAAGTTTATGGGTCCCAATTCTCATGCAAACCTTTCAATTATTTCCCCTTACTGACACCTCAAAAACCTCAGGATCTAGCACACCCACACATACCACTTCACTGTAACACGGAGGCCAGAAATGAACACATCCACAACCAGCACACCCTCATCAGGACAGAGATTGAGAAACAGCAACAATACAACCTAAATACCAGCAGGGTCCACTTTTTCCACTAGCCATGCTACTCACCTCTCCCACCAACTGCATGTCAGTAAGTTCATGAATTTTTTATTATTACTTCCTCTTAGTATTTATTTTCTCAGGAATATTTCCTGTGATTTTGCACAGTTGAGGCAACGGAACTCCTCAAGACCAACATCACTTGTGCAGTCAGCCAGTGTCATGCACAAGGGCAGGCTTTAGGATTTAAAACGAGGTAAACCACCACTTCTGGGGAGCTTTGGGAGCCGAAATGAGGAGCAGGATGCGGTGATACGGGTAAGGGCTGAGCCCTACCCCGCACTGCAGGACCAGAAAGGCCAAAACCTCGTGTGCCTCACGACGCCACAACCCACAGCCTCACCGGGAATCAGCAAAGGGGGAGAAAGGGGCCTCGGCCCGCGGGGGACAGGGCCACACCTGACCGAACAGGCAGCGGAGCAGCGGGGACCCCCCGGGCAAGCTCTGCTCGAGCCAGCCCCGACAGTACCCCAGAGACCCGGGGGACCCACCGAGCGTACCCTGGCAGCAGAGAGGACCCCACCTCCAGCCCTCCACTCACCACTCATGGTGCCCGCGGGACTCCCACCCTCCGTCCGCCGGACCCAGTCCCTCCTCCCGCACAGCCCAACGCCGGGCCAGCCAGCTCACAAACTCCACCCAGGAACTCCGCCCCACCGCCCCGGAAGGTAAACACGGCTCCGCGCCGGGGGCCAGGGCCGAGAACGAGGGAGGGAGGGAGCGAGTTGCTACGCGCCCGCGGCCGCTCGTCGCGGCGTCGTCTTCCCTCAGGCTTCGCGTGCCGCTCCTGGGGAATAAGGCGCTGCCTCCTCGCGGCAACGCGGGGTGCGGAGCCCCGCGGGAAACCCCGCGGTAGTCCTCGCGCCCCACGGAAAGCCTGACGGTCTGCCCGGGCAGGAATTCAGCGGGGAAATGAAGAGATACCGGGCAGATGAAAGATGGAGATAAAATGTGCTAAACTGTCACATGTGCTGTCTAAGCTGAAAGTCCTACAAAGTTCATGTTCCAAAAAAACATGTACAGGAACTGTGAAACCTCTAATACAAAAAAAAAAAAAAAAACCAAAAAACAACCTGATTTTCTTAAATGTTTTAGGCTCATTTTAAGGCATCATGCAGTACACAGTACAGTGCATTTGACACCTACTGCTCAACACTCTGGATAAACAGAGCATAGTGGGGTTTTTTAAGAGTTCCTAGATAAAGTAATAATAATAAATGTAATTGTTCTGTGGGACTATTTCAAGAGTTTCTGGCTGTGTGGCCAGACTTACACAGCTAACTCACAACTGGCCCAAAAGTTGTGGTCAGCCTCCTAAAGATGCTGTAATAGTGATTGTTCATAGATTTTGTGCAATAATTTACTAGTCTTAAAACATTTTAATTCATCATTCATGCAGGAACTCAGAATAGAAAGCTATTTACAAATCAAAAGATTGTTGTTGTAGCAGTTTTCCAGGAATAAAACTGGCCTAACATTAGGAGCATTACATTAATGGTTGGGAGGCAAGATGACAAAAGTATATTCCTAATTTTAGGCCACACAATAGCCTAATGTGATTATATCTAATCAGCAGTCTTTCTACATATAACAAGGGTAAGTAAATTATTACAATAGAAATAAATCTATAGGTGGTGGGGACCCCGTACACTACAAAGGTTTCTGGACAAGGGAAGGGCAACTGCCATCACCTACCTGGACTTGTGCAAAGCTTTTGACACTGTCCTGCACAACATCCTTGTCTCTAAATTGAGGAGACATAGATTTAATGGATGGACCACTCAAGGGATAAGGAATTGGCTGGATGGTCACATTCAAAGAGTTGTGGTCACCGGCTCAATGTGCAAGTGGAGAGCAGTGACAAGTGGTGTTCCTCAGGGGTCGGTGTTGGGACTGGCGCTGTTTGACATCTTTGTTGGTGACATGGACAGTGGGATCAGGTGCGGTGACATGCTGGAGGGAAGGGATGCCATCCAGAGGGACCTGGACAGGCTGGAGAGGTGGGGCTGTGTGAAACTCATGAAGTTCAACAAGACCAAGTGCAAGGTCCTGCACATGGGTCGGGGCAATCCCAAGCACAAATCCAGGCTGGGCGAGGAGTGGATGGAGAGCAGCCCTGCGGAGAAGGACTTGGGGCTATTGGTGGATGGAAAACTGCCTGTGAGCCAGCAATGTGCGCTCACAGCCCAGAAAGCCAACCCTGTCCTGGGCTGCATCAAGAGCAGGGTGGGCAGCAGGGTGAGGGAGGGGATTCTCCCCCTCTGCTCCGCTCTTGGGAGACCCCCCTGCAGTGCTGTGTCCAGCTCTGGGGCCCCCAACGTCAGAAGGACACGGACCTGCTCAAGCGGGTCCAGAGGAGGCCACGAAGATGATCAGGAGCTGGAGCAGCTCCCCTGGGAGGACAGGCTGAGAGAGTTGGGGGTGGTCAGCCTGGAGGAGAGAAGGCTCCGGGGAGACCTTATAGCGGCCTTCCAGTGGTTAAAGGGAGCTACAGGAAAGATGGGGATTCTTTATCAGGGAGTGTAGGGATAGGACAAGGGGTAATGGTTTTAAAATGAAAGAGGGTAGATTTAGATTAGATGTAAAGAAGAAATTCTCTGTGAGGGTGGTGAGGCACTGGCACAGGGTGCCCAGAGAAGCTGTGGCTGTCCCCTCCCTGGAGGGGTTCGAGGCCAGGTTGGCTAGCACTTTGATCAACCTGGGCTGGTGGAAGGTGTCCCTGCCCATGGCAGGGGGTTGGAACCAGATGATCTTTAAGGTACCTTCCAACTCCCATTGTTCTGTGATTCTATGATCATTAGAACATTCCTATTTCAAGCATCACATGGGCTATTTGAAATTATTCTTTACAAGATGTTATGTGTGTCTTCATTTCTGCCTCTTGGAATATTCCTTGTGTACCATCAAGCAATTTTTGGCCCCAGATCTCAATGTGTATTTGCAAAGTTGTTTATTGATGGGTTTGTATATATCCAGCATAAGTAGATATAATCTCTAAAGGCAGAAAAAGCCATGCTACATAGGGACTTTCAGAAATTAAAAATTCCGATAACTAGTTTAGTACCTGAGAATAGTGTAGAAATACTTGACCAAAGAGATACTAGTACCAGAAATAATATGACAATATTAATGAAAGCTCAATGGAAGATCTATAAGGATGATGTACTAGCCTTCTCCACTGTTTGCAAGTATTAATAGCTATACTGGAGTAACTAATTTATTATTATGCAGTAAAAATATACTTCTCTCATAGTCACCCAGCACCCAGAATGTAATTGCAATAATCAAAAGATTTTGTGGTAACAAGAACGGTAGCTCCTTCTTCTGTAGCTGGTAATGGAAATGAAGTTTCACAGCCAATCTGAGGTTTTATCAAGCCACAGTCACTGCAAGTGCATTCCTCCACTGAATACATTAATGTTTCACTTTGAATTGAGTATCTAATTCCTTCAGTATTCACACTGCTTTCAGTATAAGCCTTGAGAATATTATTCGGCTCCACAGAAGAGTCTGTAAATATACAGAAGTTAATTTAGTGCAGACATCATGCTATACCAGACATACAGTTATTAAAGATCCAAATTTCATTATATTCCAACTATATTCCTAACCTTAGTGAAAGTTTTAAGATGTAGTTATATGTGATAATCTTTTCTTCTGTGTTCAGGATAAACATTTAAGTATTCTAACATATTTTCTATTCAGTTATTATTTACTGGCTGAACACAAACATTAGTATTCGTAAAATGCAAAAATAACTTAATTTTTTCACCTACCCAAAATATACCACATATTCTTCTCACAGGTTATAATATTGAGTAAAATTATTTAATGTCTTGTAAGATGGAAAGCTAATATTTAATGTGTATCCTCTACCTAGGTAGAATTCCTTTTGCATTCAATGAGAAGAGGATGAAACCCTAATAAAGATCTTTTGCTACTGAGGGTTCATAAATGATTTCTCAAACACCAACAAGTAAGCCAGGTTTGAATATGCAACAAACCAATCCTGACATGATCCGGAACCAACAAAGAGAGATTGCTGCTTTCACAAGTTATCATCTGGATATTTTATTCCCTAATAACTTCAATAACTTCATTGAGACTGAGGAATACAAAACAACCCAACAAAACCAGGTATCAGTATCTGCAATAAATATGCAAAATTTATACATGGTGAGAGTAGCTAAAATGTACAATGACCTCAAATTATTTGATAAAGAATCTTATTTATTCACCTGTGTTTTTCAGTTTTTCTTTTAGTTGTGTTAGGTGCTTCCATTTAAACAAGATCATTAAGGTGAACAGAGTGAGCATTAAAATTACTCCTAAACCCAAACAAATCCAAAGAACTCCACCTGAATCAGTACCTTATGAAATAAAAGAGATGCATTAAATTAATTATAAACAATAACCAATGAACAGTAAACATGTCCAGCACATAAAACTTCTATATCAAAGGAGCAATTTATACTTCTATTGAGTGACAGCTCAAGTAAAGCTTGAAAGCTTTAAAAATTTACTACTCTTAACACACATACTCATATAGGACACACTGCATATGCCTTTAATACTTCTGAGCCCACATATTATTCTGAGAAATTCTTTCCAGGTTTTAGATTTCTTCAAGTTTTTATGTTTACAATTCTATTTAAATTACAACATGAAAACGCCCAGCATAGCCACAAAGTATTGCAGAAATATTACTTACTCTTATCACAGTAGTTTTCACATGAAGGTGGTGGTGTACTAGAACATCGAAGATGACAAGGCTTACAGGAGAGCAGCAAATTATCAAAGTACTCATTTTTGGGGCAGTGTGCCATCAGGGTCAGTAATTATAGAACTGGGAAGCCACAAAAATTCTAAAAGAGTGAGGATTATCTACAAAGGGCTTTTCAGTTCTCAATTTTAGCAAATCTAAGAGGAGCCAGCAATAATAGTTGGACTTCAATCACACCTCCAACTACATAGTATCAGGTTAAATAAAAAGGATTTAACTTTGAGGCCCCCAAGGAATTATTGTTCCTTTTTTTGGCAATTCACAATTGTAGAAAAACTGGACAGCTGCACCAAGATAATTTTCAATGTAAATTTTTGTCTGAAACAGAAAATGGTTATTTATAGGAGACATTTCTTGAACAGGTGCTAAACATTACAAACTGTAGAAAAGCAAGAAGAACTCCAAACAGGAGTTTCTAATAATTGTTCTTGTGTTTAGAATTTTGTGGGTTTTTTCATGGTGATGGGCTACAGTAATTATGTTCTGTAATACACAACCTATGGAATGCTTACTTTTTGTTCTTTTTGGCCCAGTCCAAGGAGCATAAGATGAAAAAAATAGAGGCAGAAAGCATAGCGGTAAGAAGATATGACCAGTTCAGTTTCTAGGTTTGCCACTGACTCATTCTGCAACTTCAGACAATTTCCTTCGTACCTGCTTCCCTCGTGTTGTGGTTCAAGCCCAGCCGGCAGCCAAACCCCATGCAGGCGCTCGTTCACCCTCCCCAACCCCAGGGAATGACAGAGTTGGAGGGGTAAGGGTAAGGAGACTCATAGGTTGAGATAAAAACAATTTAATAACTGAAATAAAATTAAATTAAAATAATAATGATAATCATAATGGTAATAATAGAAAATACAAACAAGTAATGCACAATGTGATTACTCACCCCCTGCTGACAGATGCCCAGCCCATTCCCGGCTAGTGATCCCAGAGAAGAGAGAGTCCTGAAACCACCATTGGGAAACCCAAGTGGAGCTCCCCGATCAACCCTTATCAATATACTGAGCATGATGTTAGATGATATGGAATATTCTATTGGCCAGTTTGGGTCCGTTGTTTTGGCTGTGCTTCCCCCCAGCTTCTTGTGTACCTGCATACCAGCAAGATGTGAGAAGTTGAAAAGTCCCTGATTTCTTAGCAACAGCTGAAAACATCAGTACATTATCAACATTCTTCTCATATCAAATCCCATACTGAATCCAAAACACATCACTATTCTAGCTACTAAGAAGGAAAGGAAAAAAAACTCAGTTAGCTCTATCCCAGCCAAAACCAGGACACCTGGATGGACAATAATAATTAGAACACATAGACAATGAAATAATTACTTTTTGTAAATGAATGGTTTTCTGGTTTTAAATGAGATACCGTTAAAGGACAAGTTCAGCAATTACTTCATATTTGTGTTGTACAGAATACATCTAAGACCTCCAGTTATAAAGGAAAGACAAAGTCTAGAGATTCAGTCACTGAGATACTGCTCCTGAATTCCAAATTAACCTCATTTATCTAGTCCATTAGGTTTTGGTCACATTTTTTGCTTGGTTCATTTTGGTGGTTTTAGCTGTTTTTTTGCTTGTAACCATAGTGATATGATAAATTTACTAAGTTTACATTCTTATTGTGAAAGAAGAGCTATATTAATGTTTTACAATTTTGATTCAAAATATTATCTGCATTTTTTCCCTTATTTTCCCATGAAGTGCACCATGTGGGAATATACAAAGTGTTTTTAGTGGAATAGTCTAACAAAGCAATCTGTCTTCTGGTCTCTAGCAGATGGAACTGCTCATTGTGACTTCTGCACTTGTTTCTATAGGCTAGATGCACAGCTGTGGGCTTTCTATTATGGGCTTTTCTCCCTGTTCAAGATTAGTAGATACACAGGAATTCAGAAAATCTGATTTAAGCATGACGAAAGAAAATATGGACACAGACCATGGGTGATGCCAAAAATTTCACCAGGAAGTCAGTGCTGGTGCTGAAGTCATAAAACTCGTTCTGACTTGGTTCATACATTCACACTCCAGGGGAAGAAACTTAAGTTATCACTAGAGTATCATTCCTATTTCTGATGAAGCACTATTTGGTAGTTTATGCATAGAATGATTAGAGTTTTCACTTGTAAGATGCTATTTAGCCTTTTCAGACATGGAGAGGGCAATCACATTCTCAACTGTGATCAGAACGCAGCAGATATTTGTGGAAGTATCTTCATGGTATGCACAGGGACAATAAGTGAATTTCAGAACAAACTGGACCCAATGCTTTTATCGATATAATTCCATTGACTTCTGGGAAATGCTCTCTAATTTTACTTAAATAGAATATTTTCCCGTGCTGCAACTTCCCATTGTTTTTGCATTTTTATATTCATATCTATAACTTGTTCTAAGACCCCTTATTTCATAAAGGAACCAGCTGACTAATTCTAGAATTGTTTTCTGCAGCTGGTTCCAACACTCCACATCTGCAGGATAGGTACAGTCTTTATTGTAGTAAAATTCCTTATAAAATTGAGAGCTTGAACTCCAAAACTTTCAAACGATATCACAGCCACTGAATGCTTCTAGCATTATTTTAGTAGTCTAGGAAAATCACATGTGCACTATAAAAGATGAATGAACCTGTACTTCAGTCAGTTCCACACTTTTTTTTCCAGTTGTACTAGAGGTATGGGGAAGGACTGTCTTGGTTTCAGCTGCTTTTATTACAGTTTTCTTGCCTCATTTTTTTATGTACAACAATGACACATTTTTTTTTCTTTTGACTTTTGACTGAATTGTGTAGGTATATTTATTTTGAACACTAGCTTTCTTCAACAAAGTAGTTTTGCTAAATAGGTAGGTTTATAGCATTTTGGTATTAATTCACAGTTTCACAAAGAAGAGAAAGAAGTTCAGATTGACAGTGGTGAGTATTTTTGCTGGGAGATATCAAAATGCTGTTGTTAAATAGCATGTAGAAATCCCAAGTAGGCCACACAGATAATACTAAGCTTGAACAAAGTTCAGTGTTGTTACCATAAAGAAAGAAACCTTGAAATGCTTGCTAGTGATAGGTTCCGTTAGAACACTCTTCTATCCTACTTCAGGTCATCTTCAGAATATTTTTTAATGGAAGAGAAATTCTATTAGAGGTGTCTGTGACTTCTCCCATATATAGCCAACACTCTGTATCACTGACCAAAGAGTAAAAAACAACGCTTAACACTCCGGAAGTAGTTCTTTTACTGTTAAAAAAAAAAAAAAAAAAAACAAAAACACCAGGCCTAAACCAAAAATGCACACAGATACTTTCAAAGTATCTTCAAAAGGTATTGGCTGAAGGAGGTAGCTTTCTTTGGAAAACATTAGTCTAACTTTCCTGCATACTTGCATGGGTAATATTTATCTACTTCACAGGAACAGTTCAAAGTAACCTTATGCAAATTTTCTAAGTGCTTTCAATGAAAATTATTAAACCCATGCAAAGTATGAGTTGACAGAATCTTGGAATCCTAGGGTTGGAAGGGACCTCAGGGATCATCTGGTCCAACCTTTCCTGGCAGAAGCATTGTCTAGACAAGATGGCCCAGCACTTTGTCCAGCCAAATCTTAAAAGTGTCCAATGTTGGGGAATCCACCACTTCCCTGTGGAGATTATTCCAATGGCTGATTGTTCTAATTGTGAAAAATTTTCCTCTTGTGTCCAGTTGGAATCTCTCCAGCAGTAACTTGTACCCATTACCTCTCGTCTTTTCCACATGACTCCTTGTAAAAAGGGAGTCTCCATCTTTCTTCTGGCCACCCCTTAAATACTGGAACATGGTGATAAGGTCTCCCCTAGAACTTCTCAAGGCTGAACAAGCCCCATTCTCTCAGCCTTTCCTCATAGGACAGGCTGCCCGGGTCCTTGATCACCTCTGTGACCCTCCTCTGGACCCTCTCCAGCCTGCCCACAGCTTTTTTGCACAGCGGGGACCAAAACTCAACAGAGTGTCCCAGGTGTGGCCTGGCAAGCGCTGAGTCGAGTGGGGTAATGACTTCTTTATCTCTGCTGGTGATGCCCTCGTTGATGCAGCCCAGCATCCCATTTTCTTTCTTTGCTGCTGCAGCCCACTGGTCACTCACACTGAGCTTGTTGTCCACCGGGACCCTCAGGTCCTTTTCTGCAGAGCTGCTCCCCAGCTGGGTAGATCTCAGCCTGTGCTGCACTGATGGATGATGTTTTCCCAGGTGCAAGAACTCACACTTGTCCTTGTTGAACTTTGTTACTCACTTCTGCTCTACTTACTACTGTAATGTATCCTACAACCGATACATATTTGATATGATATTCTACTATTCATAAAAACTGTGAAGAATGGGCTTAAAGAGAGCAATGATTGAAAAGCAACAAAAGAAAGATAGGTCTAGAATGGCTATACACAATGATTATAACATTGCTTCTCTATGACCACCACTGCTTTACCCAAATATGATTTCTAAATTCCAGGGAAAATGTACTGAAGTCATCAACACAACCATTTAAAGTAATGCTCAACAGTAAGAATATTTTGGTGCAGTTGATTCAGACATTATTTCATCCCTGAAACTATACATTTCACTTCTGAAATGTAAAGTGACACCCTTAAAGAACCTTCTGGGAAGATGACTGGTTTTATAGCTCAAATTCTTCTATGGTTCAAAAGGAAGTCTGAAATCAAACTTCAGGCTTCTGTGCTGCAAAATACATTATTGATAATTTACAGGTAAGATACATTTCAAAATATACTATTATGCAACAGATGTGATTAATCTTTTCTAGAAAACCAGACGGCTCTCAAAACACTGCTCAAGAATTTTTCAAACAACTTTCTTAAATAACTCACATAAGACTAGGGTAGCCTGGACTGGTCTGACTTTATTTAGGATGGCCTGATGAAACAAAGAATTAAAAGTTCATGATGTGGACCTATGTTTTCCTTTCCAGATTATAGTATCTTTCTGGACAATCTGGAAGGGAAAAAAAAAAAAAAAAAAAAAAAAGGAATACCATTTCAGTGAGGTGTAAAATACACATGAAACTCATGATTAAATCAACATCGCTTTTCTCAAGGAGAATAAGAAGCTAACATTTGTGGAAAAGTAACTGAAGTCTTGATGTATTCAGTGAAAAGAACCCATAGCTGCTGCTCTTACTGAGGATGTCACTGGTAATACAAAGCAGTTCATGAGGGGTAGTGAAAGCAAGAGCAAGAAGATGGTGATAACTTTGTACAGTTTTATGTTCTCCAGCAGTGCACATTCTTCTCCTTTCCATG